CCTCGGAATACGCTGGGTCTCTTAAGGGATGAATTTTCGAGGATGATTGTGGATAGGGTATTTCGGCTCCGCGAGGAATTATGTGGGATTTGGGGGGTGGCAGTGGGGAGGATGGTGGTAGGAATGGAGAGTGTGGGGATACTTATGTGGGGAGGAGGGGATTGAGAGATTCGAGAATTCGAGTGTTTGAAGGGTTGAGAATTTCTGAATGCTATTAAGAATTTGGGAATTCGAGGAATAGATAATTGTCGGATTTGAAGATTGAAGAGTTTGAGGAATGAAAGGTTGGGGAATTCAATGGTTCCTGAATTTAGTGGTTTGGTGATTCTATGATTCAAATACTAAAAAATTCAAGAATTCGATCACTCAAATTCTAAAGAATTCAAGAATTCAATCACTCAACTGCCAAAGAATTCAAGAATTCAATTAATTCGAATGTTAAAAAATTCAAGAATTCAATCAGTCAATTGCTAAAGAATTCAAGAATTCAATCACTCAATTGCTAAAGAATTCAAAAATTCAATTACTCAATTGCTAAAGAATTCAAAAATTCAATTACTCAAATACTAAAGAATTCAAGAATACAACGATTCAGGAACCCAGTGATTCGAGAATTCCAGTATTGAAGATTGCACTACCAAAATTACAGGACCAAAAAGAAAGAAGATTAAAGTGCATAAACTTAAAATAATCAGAAAAGTAATTGTACAAAGAAATAATCACCGATTCCAGGGTAGCCGTTTAGTTACATGAGAGAAAAGTTTACGCGATCCTCGGCTAGAAGTGGATATGGCAAGTTACCCAGCCATTCAGAAAAGAAACCACGGCCCGGTGAGCCGGCCAATGATGGAAAGGAGTGGAAAAGTTTCCTCGGACACTTATATATCCCCGGCGAGATAACAAATGTCAGACGGGCTCGGACCCCCGCTTCCCAACATCCAAAGAGAATCACAGCGGCCCTGTAGTGTCTCGCAATGCGACGCCTCTCTGATACGTTCCGCGAAACGGTCGGCTGACCGATGCTGACCCGCAGCCTTTTCCAACTTCGATACAGATATTCCCCGGCTAAAGCGACATAAATCAGGGAAACGTCCGGTACGTCCCTTCCTACGGACGGTTCCGATAAATCGGTTAGAAGTTGAAAACGTTGCGGGCAACAGCTCGGAGGAACAGTTGCAAAACTGTCCAGTATGGACTCGTTATTCCGCTTCAAAACTGTTGATACTTGAGAAGAAGAAACCGATGACAGTTCGATTTTAAGGAAATTAACGTTGCAATGAGATCAATTTCAGTTTCGAAATATCTCATCGTTAAAGAAGGATATGATATTATTAGAATTGTATGAAAAAAGGAAACCGTTGTTCTTCGGTTTCAGGCAGAGTTTAACAATGTAAATGGTAAAGTGGTAGGAATTTCGAGAGGGACGGCAATTGTGTTTGCGAACAAATTTGATTTCCCGATTTCGAGTAACTCCCGCATGTAATCAAGACGATTATGAATCACCGAAGAAACAAACAGAATAACGAGGATTACGGGATCGAGCGATTTAATTGATTCAAAACACGAGCGGCAGCCGCGCGCACGGATCTATTGGTCGGGACATAATCTGCATAGACCAACCATTCCGACTCGGATTTCAACGTGTTGCCATTCAATTTCGAATCCGTACCGACGCCCTGCTTACAGGGAAGACTAATTTGAAAATCGCCGCGTCTTAGGCTAACTGCGTGTGCCCGTTATTGCTAACGACGACAATACACCGCGGTCTAATCTAGGATTACGGACGCGGCGCTGTTTCACGACACAATATCAATCATGTTCAGCTATAGTTAAAGTTCCTTTACGATAGCCGGCCGTATCGTTGCACAGCGGAAACAGCGCAGTTAAGTGAAATTAATATTCCGCGGAATGATACGATGACAGTTCTTGTCAACTGCGACTCCTATCAAACATAATTTATACGCGCGCGTTGTGTTTAATATACCGTAACACGATAGGCGATGAGGGATTGCGAACCCTTCGATCTTTTTATTAGACGAACAATGATGCATTTGATTTTGATATGATTATTTGATTTTATGAAAATGTGTCCTACCTTATCTGTAGTGTTTCTAAACATTAAATAATCGTACGTTTCAATGTTTAAGGTTTAATGATTCGAAGTCTCGAGGATTCAAGGATTCAAGGATTTAAAAACTCAGGAACTCAAGGATTCAAGGATTCAAGGATTAAAAAACTGAGGAACTCAAGGATTCAAGGATTCAAGAATTCAAGGATTCGAGGATTCAAGGATTCAAGGATTCGAGGATTCAAGGGTTCAAGGATTCAAGGATTCAAAGATTCAAAGATTCAAAGACTCGAAAATTCAAAGACTCGAAGATTCAGAAATTCATAGATTTCATTTGAAAGCAACACAGAAAGCGGAAGTTCTTTCGTAGCTATTCCTTACAGCATAATCAACTTCCGGTCAAAATGTCGAGGGTTCCTAAAGATCGATACACCGAGTGTGCAAATAGCAAGATATTTTAGGCAACAAAAGCAATTCGGACAATTCCCCGTGGCAAATGAGGCGGCCCCTGATTAACACACATTGGCTCAATTACACGGGATATTCAGGGAACACGAAATTGCCTGCTATTAACGGAAGTGCGAGGGCGGATAGAGAGACGGGTGTATATATCGAGCGAATAACACAGGACGATGCGAGGAAAACCGTCGAACGCAAACACTTTCTCAGAAAAACGAATTTTCCTGTAGACTGTGATGTAATGAGGTGTACGAAAGTTTTCAAGAGCAAGATTCTCACAAGAAACTTGAAATTACCTTATTAAATTGCTACAAAACCCTGTAGGCGGCTGAACTACTTTTCCGCGGAAAGTACCTGCTAGCAAGTACAAATTACGATGCAGGCAATAATCATCTTTTACATCGTCGCGGTAAATATGAACATAAGTAGCATTCCTCGCATCTCTTCATCCTCATCTAGCAGTTATTTACGCTCCGCTTTTCGCTGAAACTTAATCAACCATAAATTCACGGAACGCCCACCGAAATATAATACTTGAACACGAAACGCGAGAAAACGTGGCTTCGCCGCGACTTGTACTAACGACAATATGCTCCTTCCCTTTTGAACTTCGACAATTTTTCCTCTCGACTCGAAAGTTCGTTGCAATTTTTACGCGGCTGGGTCTCTAAGAAGTTTTACAAATAAATCAATGAATCTGTACGAATTACGCGCGCTTTGCGAAGGAAAGGAGTCCTAGTGACATCAGTGTTAGTTTCCCCAAACTTGAAGCAAGCATCACGGATTTAACACTATTTCTACCGAAGGTGTCAAAAGAAATTTTCACTTAAAATTATTTTCTCAGATAGATCATTCGACCTCAATTGAATTTTCGACTGTATAAAGCCGATTGACAGCGCGCCGGGGATGACAGTGGTCGGTAGCGCGACGGTGATCCATGTAACTTTAAATAAAATTCATTGTTCAACGGTATAAATCCTGCTTAAATGCTATTTTTTAAATAAATTCCTCTATTTCTTGGTTCATAAGTATTAACCAATTCCTAAAATACTATACGGCCTTATTTAAATTAATAAAATTCTACTTAAAAGTCAAAATCGAGCGTTCCTCCTATCCCCGTAATGAGTAAGACAAGGACAGAACAACTGTGCGATCAGGATAGAGAATTTTTTTTATTGAACATTTAAAAAAAAAGGATTCTCTATCCTTGACGCACAGTTGTTCTAGAGATAGAGAATTTTGTTATCGACCGACAGCAGCGCCATCTAGTGGCGGAGACTTTGGTGTGTTTCTCCCTATACCCACAATGTGTAAGACAAGGACAGTGCTACTGTGCGACAAGGACAGTGATAGAAGTCCCGATGCCACCTACTTCGAAAAAGCATCTCATCAGTCCCTGGTACCTACGCGCGAAGCATGATGACTAAAGAGGTATCCGACAAGGACAGCTACACGATTTCGCGTGAGAGGGAGAAGGACGCAGAATGGTTGCCGCCAGAAATCAATCTAATCGATGAGAAATTCGTTAATATCTCGAATTCCACTCACAATTCGTCAACATTTGCGATCGCGGAACCCAGCACAGATCTTCAGCTACCTTTGTATATCATTTTCGATAGAATTCTGATTCGCGTTAACTATTTATTGACAATTTTTTAATGTCCCAAGATAATTTAGAAATTTTTTTGCGGATCTCGAATAAATCGTCATTTTTCAAACTTTACAGATGTCATTTTTAAAGTTTTGTAACAGGAGAAAGTGGAGTAGACTTCTGACAACATTTTAATGTTAATTTTGGTTACATTCGAGTTGTAATTAATCAGTTATTAGCTATTATCGGACGGGTTCCTTAACGCATATGAGTAATTCAATGGGTGCTATAAGGGCAGATACATATCGCCTGTTGCGTCATCTGTTGGAAAGTTGTCCAAACAACTAACCGATTAGTGCGTAATAATTGTCACTAGATGTAGCCACATTTTTCGAATACCTCTTTAGTCATCATGCTTCGCGCATAGGTACCAGGGACTGATGAGATGCTCTTTCAAAGTAGGTGGTATCGGGATTTTTATCTCTGTCCTTGTCTTACACATTGAGGGTTTAGGGAGTAACATGCCAAAGTTTTCGCGTTCCGTCAAAATTCTTTGTCCTTGTCTTACTCATTATGGGGATAGAGAATATGCTGAATTTTGCCCTTCATTATTATTTTTTTTATATGTTACTGACTGCAAACTGTTTATATAATTAAATCTGTTCCTATATTTTCAACTAAATGTTTTTAACTCTCTCGTACATTATGCATTTCAATGTAAACAAATAGGATTAAATATATAGAATGATATTTTGGAATAACTTGTATATTTTATTTCATCCTCTACATTTTTCTGTCCTCAAATAGTACATTTGAAATAATCCGTCTAATAAGAAAACAAAACAAAACAAAGTTTTAATTTTACTAAATAATGATTAAAAATTATTTAATGTCACATAATAATGCTACTCCACGTAAGACCCAAAAGTCGGGAGGTCTAATTGTTTGCAACCACAACGGTGTTATCAATTGTGCATACGTCCTTTGTGGCTTTTTATATACTGGACACTGTAACAATAATATGCATGATATTAATGAATTGAAAATATCTGTTATGTAGTCATATGTATTTATTTACCTACCTGATATAATTTAGGGTCTTTGTCAGGGATGTTGTAAAGGGCATAAATATGAATTGCAGGCATTAGGACAAACAGAACTTTATTTGCTGATTCACACAGTCTGTTGTTCCTTTTATCCCAGCCAGCTCCTTCTAGGAATAATCCATACACATAAACTCCCTCCTAATAACATATGCAAAAGTATTTATTACAAATTAAACAATTTTCTGTAATAAATATATTGAATAATTGACATACTGAAGGTGGAGTTTTCACTTCATCTGCTGTATAACGTAGAACTTCATTGTGAAGTGTTACATTATCCAGAGCCCATCCTTTATGAGCCCTTGTTACCTCTTGTCTCATAGCTGTTAAAAATCCTGGAGAATAAGCATGATGTATTGAGTAAATAATTATGCAAAGTTTGGCATCATTTATAAATGAAGAAATAAAATATTACATGCCTTGAGGATTAAAGAAACCAGTCATCCAAAATTTAGCTGGCCTACCAGAGAACAACCAAGTTGAAAATTGTTTGTTTCTATCTAACAATTCTGTAAACCAGAATCCAAGAGATGAAGATTCCCACGATTTCATTTTCCACGTTTTTGGTATTCTGGCATCGTATATACTATCAAGAGAGTCTCTCAATTCCTAATTAAATTTATACTCATCAATTTTATCTTCATCGATCAGGCTCGAAGAAAATTACCTCGCTCATTATAATGACACCCTCTATGGCAAGAAGAAGGTCCTTAAGAACAATATTAACCAATTTAATAACTATTTGTATCCTGTCTATTTCTTGCTTCAAGAAAATATTCATTGGTGCAGTTGTGCCTAGTATCTGCAATCTATAATTCTTTTTATTTTATTTGTAAATATAATCGTCATTTTAAAATATCTTTTCACTGACCTCTGTTTCACTTCAAATGGATCATACATGGGGGGTAATTTCTTTAACATTTCTTTTGCCTGTTTTGTTACAATTGCTTCTCTAGATTCACCACCACCAACTCCTGCTTCCTTTGGTTGCACAGACATTATTGTGTCTAACACAGTTTGGGTCGTATTACTCTGATATCTATAATATTAAAAATTTCTTATACTCTCCAGGGTTAAGGGTATTAAACTTTTTGAAAAATATATTTACGTAATATCCGCATTACGGTGTAAACCGTAAACTTGGGGTGGGTCTACAGTAGGCATTTCATCTATTATTTTCAAATAATCTGTAACTTGTTTATGGACAAGTACAGGATACCCCTTGAAAAATACAAAATCTTCAGTAAAAATTGCTTCTGAAAACCAAAGTTTAGCAAATGTATTCAATAGTCTTTTATCATAGTCATCAGTCACACGTCCACCGTACTGGACTTCCCCTATCATATATCTAAAAATGTGATAATTGTATTTATCAAAGATACATAGAATTACAAATAAATTTTGTGCTTGGGAAAAATCAATTCTCCTTTTCTACCTAATAGTTGACCAGCTAATCCCTTGCTTCACATCAAAATCATTTAAATGATTATTAATGAACATACAAGATGCCAACCAATCAGCCATATTAAATTCGTATGGAATATTCCATCCAAGGGGACCAAACTTTCGTCGTTCTTGAACAACAGTGTGCAAAAATGATACGGTATAAATAATTGGTATATACTGTGCAGCATCACATTGGTCTAGCATCTCTTGATTCATACCACTATACGTGGAAAGTAAACCTGCTCTTACTCCTAAAATAAATTAAGAACATCGAATGAAGTAAACAAATGTGCAACATCAGATTTATACCTTGCGGAGGTTCATAAGTATATTTTATGGACATTTGAAGAAGGGAAATTGGAAAATCTTTATGTGGTTCAGTGGTTATCCATATACGAAAATCAGGATGCGGTGCTTCCATGTCCAATAGAAAACTTGTTACTTCTACCATATAATCTAAACCCAAGTGACAATTCTGACACAATGCCCAGAAACCCTTAAAATTTATCATTTATTACTAAAATTCTTGTACTCGTTTCATATTTCATTTCTTAAACTCTTTTCATTGAAAACACACTTCAGTTTTTGCACTTTGAAGCAATCTTCGTGCATGAACCTCCTGACCTTGGCCCATCGAAATACTTTTACACATAATCTCCTTCTTCCTCGCAAGTTGTTGAATGCTAGGAGTAGGATCAGACCCCATGCTTAAGAAGCATACCATTGGTGTATTTGGCCTTGATTCACTATGCATTACATCTAAAAGAGTGATAACAGGTTCTGCATATCGTTCACCCAACGAACTCGCTATATACTTTCTTGACTGAGACAATGTTCTATCTATACACCAGGCTCTAAAATTATTGTAAACGATATATATTAATACTAGTATTAAAAAAATTATATATTATGTGTACCTTATTAACAACAAACGTCGGAAACTATCCAAAATGTTGTATCCATTTGGTATGACTTCCTCCTCTGGAGCTTCTTTGTCAAACCACTGTTTCCATTGTTTCTCAGAAGTTGGTACTTGAGAAAGAATGTACTGGAATTGTCTCAATGAAGACAGTGCAACTAAATTGAGCCAAGTGACATCAGAAATCCATTTGCATGGCTTCGGTTGAACAGTGTTTAAGTCTAAAGCTGCACCACCCTTAATGAAATACTGAAATTCGTCGTAAGAAATGGCTTCTTGTTGTAGATCAATTTTTAGCGTCATTAATAAGATAAACATGTATTTGTGGATTTCGTAAAGACCACGTGCTTTATATCTAAATATCTCGTACGTAAGGTACTCGATAATGTAGTTTATTCTCCTTTGATTGACTGGACTTCTTTCAGATCTAAAAGAGTCACTCATTTTGATATTTAATATTTTAATAAAATGTATGCATTGTACGTACCTTTCCATAGAAATGTCGAAACGCTCCAAGAATTGAACCAGGGATGTTTGATACATGCAATTTACTAAGGCCATGTCGCAGATCAAGAAATAAAGGACACTGCCACGAGTTGCAACTGGCCTAAATTCTTCTCGTGCTGTATCAATTCTTAATTCTGTATCCTTTGCAATGCTTAGCTTCTCGGTTATCTCAGCTGCAGTTTGTTTTGTAGTATTCAACACAGACATTAGTTCTACATCTTCTATTAAAGGTCCCTTTACATCATAATTAATAAGATCAGTACATCTGATGTATAAAATGCATGTATAATAAAATTAAGTAAATACCTCAACAGTGGTCAATTTATGTAACAGATTTGTTTCCAATTCTTTAATCTTCCTATTGTTTGCAGTCACGTTTGCAATTAACTGTGTCTTCTCTGTTTCAAGTTCTTTTCTCTCTGTTAAAATAACTCTTCCTAAAAGTTGATCTTCTAAACCTACATACATACAGAATAATAATACAATCAAACTGTATTTAGATTAAATGAATTAAACTATCTTGATTACCCTTTATGGTAACAGTAAAATCAATTATAGCAGTACGAGCAAAGACTTCTGGTGTGTATGATGGATTTGGTAATTTTGTGGTGATGTACAGTCTAAAATCTAAATGAATGTCTACTTCTTTATCACCTAATTTGACCTATTAAAATTACTCAAGCGTAAAGACATGTTTAACAAATTGTTTATAGAATGTAGTATCAATTAATCAACCTTTAAAGATGTTCCAATTTTAATAAAATTTTTCTCTAATAAATTATCTAGTACGGGATCCAGTACTTCTCCTACATCCTCAATAAGTAAAGGGCGACCAAGAGAAACACAATCCTCCAAATGATTTCGGAAATATTTATGAGTAAGCAGTGTCGGCTGAAGAAAAGTATTAGAATACATTAAAATCGACAATGTAAACTAACTACTTTAATATAAAAGTACATTCCACCTGTAAGTTAAAGTCCTCTTCTTTATTCTTAATCCATGCTTTCCCTTGTAATTGAGGATCAATTAAAAGAGGATATCTGGATGCTTTTGTTACTATGATCCCATTTTGAATTGACAAATCGTCTGTTGGTAAACCTTGTAAGCTCCATTCTCCAATCTAAAAATATGTGTATGTAATAATCCATTGTAAAAAATTATGAGTAATGTGTTCTTTGAAATATTTCTTACAGTAGCAGTATCAGTCAGCGAGGCTGATATGTTTATTATGACAGATATTGGAATTTTTCTAGCTTGGATGAAGTCAAACCATTTGCGTTGCAAGAGAGTCCTAAATTCCTGGTTAAATGGCCCACAATATGATAAGAAACCCATTAGAATCAATACATCTCCAACAAGACGGTCCGTTTCTGATTTAAATGTTGCTAATTGCTCTGTCCATCTGATCCTTTCTCCAGAAAGTCCTTCGATCATTGCAGTCGCTGTATCCGTTTTTGCTTGACAAGCTTCAGCTAGATCAACTATCGCCTAATAGAAGAATTACTTTAGATTTAGTAAATTCTATATTATTCAATATAAAGGCAAATTACTTGACGTTCTTCCATAACGCCATCGAACTCTTTTTGTACAATCTTTAAATCTTCATCTTTTGCTCTGAGGAGACTCTCAGCTTCATTTAAATTTCGATTCGCCTTCTCATACTTGTTTTCTTGTACAGCCAAATTTGCCTACAAACCAAAGTTATTCATACAGTTAGATAAAATTATAATTCCAAAATTCATTACTTTTTATAAAAAAGAAATTTACTTTTAAAGGAAGAACGTCTTTATTTATCTCGTAGAATGTAACCATAGAAATGGTCCATTGTATAAGACCAGCAACATTGCCACATGCTTGCTTTGCAGCTTCATAAGTGTACAAATGGTAATTTAAATACGGTTGCATCAAATCAACTGTTTCTGCATTAATGTTGTCCTTTGGGAAATTTTGTAAGTTAAAGAGGAACCTAGTATCAGCCAGTACCTATAAGGACAGTAATAAGTAGATTATGTATCAAATCGTCCTATAATGAATTATAAGAAGAATACCTTTAATGCTTCAGACCAAGATGGCACTAAAAATTGCCGTTCATAGTCAGGTTTTACTGATTCTAATTTTCTTCCAAAAAGTATTAAAACACAGTCCATTATAAGCGTGATAAGATATGGTGGTTTACCTAGTTTACGTACTGTTGCAATATCAGCTGCTTTAATAGTCTAACAAAAAGGTTTAAATAAATTGAAAGGCATAGTTATAATAAATAATATGTAATAATTATAAAAAATGTCGAACTTGTAACGCAGCTTCTGCAGCCAATAAAGCAGGCTCTGCAGCTTTCAATTTTCTCTCTGCTATCCCTTTCTCTTTTGCTATTACTTTCAAAAGGGCTTCCGCCTCATCTTTGGTAACTTGAACGTGAGCCTTAACTGTTTCTGCCTCTTGCTTTTTCTCGTTAACAGTAACCAAAATCTAGAAACAAGATAATCAATTCATCTGATCAAAAAGTCGAATTGAATTGTCTAAAATAGTAAGCTACTAACAGCTTCCACTTGGACATTCTTCTGAGCAATCTCCTGTTGATTCTTCTCCAATACTTTCCTTAATTCGTCGACTTGAGCTGCAGCATCTACTAATTTATTTAAACCATTACTCATACGGAAAGCTAGAGTATTAATATTATCCAAACGTTGTTTATAAAGAGTCTTGTATCCGCTCAAAAATGTTAAGAATGATTTTGGAGTGACATACACTTGTCTTCTGAATCTATTGAAAGAAATAGATTAACTATAAAAATACATTAAAAATAACATCATTTTAATCCTACCTATCAAAGTATTCCACGCAAATGTTGTTAACATCATCCTGGATGTCTCCCATCACTTCAATCAGCTGTTGCTTTACCTCTGATGAGCAAATAACTTTAAATTTCTTCAGGAAGTGATCTCCAACCGCATATAGGGCATCTCGGGGCCACCTCCAGAACCAGTTTATTGTACAACCAGAAATAAGACCAGGAAACTTAAGTGCTCGTGATCTAAATTTCTCACCAACCTGAAGTAGAATAAGATATTGAGTTATCATAAAATTTAATATGCTAACTTTATAGTCTCAATTATAATCTAATGATAAGGTGATAGGATTATTTACCGGCGAGAAGCATAAAACTACGTGTAAATTGTTTCTAGCTCGCGATATGAAATAATCATAAAGATTGTCCGGCGTTGGTGGTCGTCTTGGTTCATCAACTTTCATTAAAGGCGTAACAGTTGATAAAATATCATCGAGTTCATCCGCTGGAAAAAGATTTGCAACTTCCCCAACACTGAGAATATTATTTATGTATTCTAAAAAGCCTTCTTCTTTTATCTCGTTATCGGTAAATATAAAAGTGTGTCCTTTGCTGCCTGTACCAGAAGTACGATAGAGCAACCGAAGGTCTTCCATTAAAGTGCCAATATTGTAACTCCTACAAACGTAGAGTATGTAATTTTCAATATATATTTATTGACTTATATTCATTACCTGGATAACGTTATTTGAAAAAAACTAAAGCCTGCGATAAAGGAAGCCAATCGAGTCAAACTTTGCTTCCCTGAACCTCCAACTCCTACTAACATGGCATTACTTCTGGGAACTCCGAGTATCCGTGATATACGAATTAAATGTATTAAAGCGTCTTGGAAAAATACCAAATCAAGATGAATTCCACGAATATACTCATTAAACTGTTCCATATTTTGTCGGACTTTTTCTATTACAATTTCATAACTGGAAGCCAAAAGGTTCAGTATAATCTCAATTACGATTTAATTAAGTTAAAGGAGCTTCGGTTTCTTTGTTCTACCTTGGTATTTCTTCATAGATCTTTGGTGCTTCAAACACAAAGTCCTCTGGCTCATCTCCAGTAGGCTCGGGTGGTTCACGTAAGAAATCGACAAAGTATGTTTCTGTTGGAACATAGTGTTTAAAGTCATGACCCAACATTTTCTCAGCTGTATGTTTCATGGTGCTTTTAAACCATTTAGTGTCTGCCTCGCTAGTGAATCTATCAAATGATGTTACATAAAGTCTTAATACATTGTAATCGTTATATATATCTTCTCATGACAATAGAAATTGCAAACCTATCTGCGATTACGCGAAGACATTCATGCTGCCAGAGCTTCAACAGAACAGTTGCAGAATAACATTCATTTTTCTCTATCCTAAGGATCCCCTCCCAAATTCGAGATAAATCTCTTAAGTTGAAAACATAATGAAACTTTGCTGGCGTTGGCAACATCTTCAACTTCGTTTGCTGCCACAGAACTCTGGTTAAAGGTATCAACTTTGGTAAGAAGTTGACAATAGTGTCGTCGAATCTGGTATCGCAAAAATATCCTTGACCAATACTTCCTACAAGTAATAAGAGCATAACAGTATACCTGAACTAATTAGTACTTATCTAACATGCAAAATTGATCCTACTGAATATAGTATCCATCGATTTATTCGACGGCAATGTGCAATTAAAGATATTATACTGTCGTTTTAGCCTTGGAGGAATATCATTTCTTCCACCACCTGGATGAATCATTGCGGCAACTAGTTGAATATCTTGTATAATAGAAAAATCGCCGGGCTTATCTAAGGAATAGAACCCTTTATATTCCATCAATTGACGAACAATCTCATTAGTAATTTGATCGCCCCATTCGTTTATAGCTGGCATATTTATATCATCGATAAAAATGGTCATTTGACGGCCTCCTGGTGGACCATAAGTTGTCCCAACCCTTTTTTCCACATAGCTTTCGAATACGCGCTGCAAGTTATGTTTTGTATCTGTTATGAGTTCTCAATCTATACTTAATTTAAGTTACACGTGATAATACAATTACTTGAACCATGTTAGGCGTTGATGCCGATGAAAAACTGAAAGACTTATGTAGGTGCTTTTCAGGGTCGTATTGAGACATATAACTTTTAATCATTACAGTCTTTGCAGTACCCTGTTCTCCTGCAAACGACGGTAAACTTAATTAAAGTAATAATATCTGAAAGAAATAGAAATCTTCATTTAAGAACTTCTACCTATCAGTAACACTGCCTTTCTTTGCTTCGCGATAGTATCAATTAAAAACATCGTTCTTGTATTGTCTATGTTTGGAACAAGAATCGAATGATATGGTAAAACTTCATCTGAGGGGTATATAAATTCTGGAACTCTCGCAGACCAATGTAGCCAATCTCCATTATCAGATACTAAATACTCAAAAATAGTTTCATCTTCCTAAATAAAATACAACATAACGTTTACATTTCTCGCTCCATTTAATATAAATTTATTATAAATTCACTTTTATTCGTGGCCAATTGCACTTCGACTCGTGATTGACTAAAAATTCTTGCAAAGCATTACGTTCTTCTAACTCTAATACAGCTCCCAAACTCCACATAACAGAAAACAGAAATATCTTCTCAATATGATACGTCGTAAGTGTATCTAAATATAATAAATTTCTCTATTTAATAAATTACTATCGTAAAGATAAAAGAAGCTTTACCTTCGCCGAGTAAACCTTCTAATAAATCAATACATTGTCTTATATAGATTGCTTCCAAGAGCTTCATTTTTACTGGAAGCTTTGTCTGAACAAAAGTATGGGCATCGTTGTATAGTTTATTAAACAAATTGCGCAATACCGTTGCTTCTGTAGGTGGTCGTTTTTTGAACCACCCCTGAATACAAAAAGAAATAATACTTAGAATCAATTACTGTGATAGTAATGGTTTCCAAGGATCAAGTTTTAATACAACCTCTAAAATTGGACTCCATTTTAATACAGAAGCACTCATAAACACCATTCCCATTCTCGATATTGTTGCTGGGGATGCATTGTCGACATTATCTGGCTCAAAAACCAACTTTGAATTCGGAACCATTACTATTCGATCGCCGTTAGCCAGAGTCAAAGTTTTATTATCATCTAACACAGAATTCAAGTTTTCAATCCAAACTGCATCCACAGGTCCGTCCAAAACGATCCACAAGTTGTCTGTTTTCTTTATTTGCGTTGATCTCCTCCATAGAGTAGAGAATATACCATCTGTCCAATCATTTGTTGCAACATCTAATCTTCCAAACATTTGGGAAGCAGTAATAGCCTATAATGAACTTCCAGTTACAGTAGTCACAGTAGAACTAGAATATCAAGAAGAGAATTACTCACTTTTGGATTCATTCTGACTTCTTTATGTGGCATACCCATCTCTGTAAGAGCCTTCATTAAAACCCACATACATTGAGTCTTTCCAGCACCAGTTGGTCCAAGAACCATTAAACCATGGCGTACAAGAGAAGTCTCATATAACTAAGAACATAAAGGGCATAATTATTATGGAATAAATCAATGCTATCAATTTACAATCAAAACGCACTTGAACTACTTTCAAATTCCATTCTGGATGATTCATTATACCAAGTGCATTAGTTGCGTTTGCTATTGCTTTCTGCAAGTCCTTGTATGTTTGAGTTCTGAGTTTAATTCCAGGAAACATGTCTTCTATAAGGGACATAAACAGAGGCTCATCTTCATCCACCAGTTTCGATAAATTCATATCTCTGTAAAATTATACTAGTAACATCTTCAATATTTCTTCCTCGAAGTATTCTTTTACCTTAACACCCTCATAAGGGTAGTTTCTTCCGAGTCTGTAGGATTTGCTCGTTTTTGTGCCCCGAGAGTTCTTAAGCAAGACAGTATGTTTCTTAGTCCAAAATCGTAATGCACTTGTTTACTGAGTTGTTCTTCACACAACTTATACAATGTAAAGAACTTTCGTGATAATAACACATTTTCTTTGAAACCACAGGCTGCTAATTTTACACGCATAATTATCTGAAGAAATTTTAAGAAATGAAGGAAAGTAGTGAAACGGTGAAACAAAGTTTATAACTAAATTTTACTTGTCTGTCGGGAACCATCATAGCCACACTTCTAAATTGTATTTTCAAATTCTCTGGTAACTCTTGGCGACCAGCATAGCCAGGATTCATTGTAATAAACAATCCGAATTCATAGTTTATTTTATATGTTTCGCCATCACTAAAAATCGCGGATAATTCTTTAATAAATTCAAGAGCACGCATTTTATGCATGTAAGAAGTTTTCATACCTAAATAAAAAAGATGTTTTTCTTTCTTTCCGTGCCGTAAGCACAATTGCTATTTGCTGAGCAGCCACAGATAGAACAGGTAAATCGATGCGATTAAATTCATCAAAACATCCCCATGAACCAGACATAGCTAATCCCTTAAATATTCTACCGAGACCACGAAAATCCATTTGATCAGAACAATTAAACACAACCACGTACTTTCCAAGAGCCTTCCCCATATCTTTAGTGGTCTCTGTTTTTCCAGTACCGGCAGGACCAGCTGGTGCACCGCCAAAATTCATGCCTGAAAATATAGATACAAAAATGTGCTGAAGTAATACAATTAAAATTGTTGTATAAGCATATTAAAACAATAATTATGATACTCTTACCCACAGCTTGGGCCAATGTAATGTAACATCTATCTGTAAGAGGTGTAATAGCAAGACGATCAGTACACCCTAAAAATTCATTCTGATAAACGAAATCTATATCAGTGATTTTTATAGGAATATCTTCAGTCTCAGAATTGTAATAAAATCTAATTTGCTTTAACCATTCAAAATCTTGTGCATTGCGAATTCTAGATCGGCACAGCTCATCAAATATATCTCTTGAAAAATGTACAATAGAAATACATTATCCTTTACAACATTATTGTTAAATATGTATGATGTAATTTATGTTAAACCTTTGATGCACGTGTATAGTAATTAAAGCCTCATATTTAGATCTTGCATATTTAGTTAGATCTTTTACGGTTACTTCAATGAGAAGATTTAATAAATCAAGAAACCACTGATTTGTCTTCTTCATCACTGTTCTGTCCCGTTTCACTGTATTCAGTGCTATTTCAGAATCGCGAGTCCACAAAACTTGCAAACTTAGCAACCCCACCTATGTAATATTAATTTTATATAACTTTTGACACAAAAGGAAAAGATTATATTCTTACTTGTAAAACAGAATTGTCTATTAATTGTATCAAGTCAAATTCATCTAAACTCAAAGTCTGTAATCCTTGGGAGATTACACTACCGACTGACTGTTGATGAACTATTAGCAAAGTATTTAGCCAATTCTCTACACCTCCTGTACATATAACTTCCTTTTCTAGTACTATACGTTCATTTTCACGAGAATACATGGCAACAATTTTTTCATATTCTTTCTCCGCAAATTCTAACTGTGAAAAGACATCCAAACTGTAATAAACAACTTGACGTTAAATTTGCCAAATATATCACCTTTCCTATATTGTCAAAGAAGCCATCAAGATATTTCTGTATAGTGTGGCAGTCAGCTGCTTGTCCTAATATCTCTAACAGTGTAGGATCTGATATAAAGCAAAACCTTGGGAATATACTTCTTTTTGTCTCCAAATATCTATGCAAGTATAATGAATAAATTAAATTCGTTTATTAATTCTTTAATATAGTCTTTTAATCCACATTCTTACCCACTAAGAGACTTTTGACAAGATTCCAGTTGCTCCAATAAATGAGGTAAAAATTGACCCATTGTTTCATCGCCAGTACATGTCTCTACGGCATTGAGTCTCTCGCGTGCTCGATACATAATTTTTACCCAAGCTTTATCAATATTCTAAAATGATTAAGTATGCACATACAAAAAAGGTTACAGCCATCAAGTTTTATAATTCTCTTACATTAAATCGTTTTGCTTCTGCTGGAAGTTGTTTAGATATATCACCACCAATAAACACTGCCTCCAAGTAGGCCCACAAATTTTGCACAGTTAGCCATTTTGCTAATATTTCAGAGGTATTACTGAGTTTGAATTGCCACAGTTGGATATCTTTTTTAAATGGTGCATTATATCTCAAAAAGAAATTGAAAACTAATAAATAATTGTGAATCAAGCAGTATTAAATTCACAATGACTATGTTTTGTACCGATTAGCCAAGAGAGAACTGATCACCATCAAGCTATCTTCTAATTGAGATATTATCTCAGCTGTTTCTGTACCCTTCAAAAGAAGTTCTCCTCTTTGCTTAAAATGAGAGAATTGCAAATCTACCGTAGCCCATTCAGCAACTATTTGTTTCAATTTACTGTCTATGTCCAATTCCTTCCCAGCACTGATACATATATCCTGCCAGAAAATAAAAGTTTCATTAACTTACAAAAAATATCACAAGTTTTGCTCAAACTGTACCTCAACGTCGTCTTTATATTTCAACAAAGGAGCTTGTATTACACTTGCTAAAGTGAAAGTTTCTGACTCGACGTCAAAGTTATATTTACACAGCTTAGACATTCTTTTCCAATGTCTTTCTTGCATTGCCTTATTTGCCATTAACTCTAACAGTGGACAAGTCTCGTTAAAATCATCGATTTTCTTTTTTAAATCAATATATGCAGGCCAATCTCTCATAGCAGTTGGTAGCCTTCTACATCTGAAAAAATTCGAAATTTATTAATGCTGATATAAGAAAAATAATGAAGATCTCAATCTCTCTTACTTGTTCTGAAAATCAGCTAATTCTGTAACTATGGACTCAATATCAATTTCAGACCAAGGTATCTCGTAGTAACTGTCGATAGTCCGATTAACTTGCAAGTAAAGAGAATACAATTTCTGCAATAAATTAATTTCTCTTTTGCGTTGATGAAGAGCTGGATATTCGGTTAACTCTAAACCAAACAAACTTTCACCACTACTGTAAGTCAAATATCTTTCCCATAATTCGTCAAGACGTGCTTGAAATAAGAGAAGCCTAAAAAAATTATGATTAATGTTAATGAACATTAATAACTTATTAAACAAATAAGTACTATTTATACTGTTACCGATCACTGGCTTCTTTAGCTGGTATACCCTCCACCATTGGACCATTCACCTCAAAGTCGCGATCAAAATCAATCACATTTTGTTTAAATGCTGCAACACCATCAGTTAATTCTTTCTTCAGTGGCTCTTGCATTTCACAGATTTTTGCTTGAACTTGTTTTGCCTTTAAACATTAAAAATTTTACTGAGAAAAATATTATACAAACAACTAAAAACTAAATTAAATATAATCTTTACCATATTTAACATATTGGTGAAATTGTATCTGAGACTGTCAACAATATCCTGTTCCTCTTTTGAAACAGGAATATTAAATTTACCCATCAATGTGTAGGTTTCTTCTATTAATATTAATTCCGTATCTAAGGATATAAAATCATCTCTTATTTCACTCAAACACTTCATAGCAACTCTGACATCTTCTAAGTCTTTTATGTCTCTAGTCAAAATTTTATTCTTCTCATTAATGTATTCAGTAATCTTTCTAAGTTTCTCTTTATACATAGTAGATAACATTTGCCCTAAAACTGTTTTCCATGTACGGGCTTCAACTAAAAGTGCTAATTTCAGTTTGTCTGAAAATATTGTATTAATTAAAAAATGTGTTAATCCTACAATTCATTCATTCCAGAACAAGTAATTCTGATACCCATTTTTATTTGTATAGGTCCAACAATATGGCTAGTTGGTAAATCCTGTATTTCTTTAACTAAATCATCATACTCAATAAACTTCTCTTTGATTTCCTGAATAATAGGTTCAGAATCAACAAAATATTGAATCATCTTGTTTCTTTCTTCAGACCATATATAAGAATATCGTAAATATATCTAGAATGTCACATTTAAATTACTTAAAATTATCCATTCGAAATACTAATTTCAAAATGGATGAAACGATCGAATATAGACGTACATTTCCAAGCTGCACGATATCATCTTTGTAGGAAGAAATTACACCCTGCAAGCTCATTACGGAGCGTACTATTTCTTTGTGATCAGATAATATTTGATAATAATTTTTCAGCGATCCTTTAGAACTTACTTCATAGGGAAGAAAAGAAATATTATTTTTTTAAAATATATTGTTACTGTTGTCATTATAAAACACTAACTTTGTACACTATCGCTACCACCGGACAATCTTATATCCGTGTAACGTTGTCCCCATGTAATAATATGTTTATGAGTTTCTAATACGCTAATTATTAACTTCCCGAAGTAATGTTGTAAATCTTCTATTGGCGGTGAAATTATAATATTTGGAATTTGTAACACAAACGTGGTTATCATTATTGGAGTCTGTTGCTGCTCTAAACTATTACTATCCATGATGAGAGGACTATTGAAATAAAAGATTATTCTTATGTAATATTGATAGAAATAGCTGAGCTAATAGATAATTATTAGATAAATTAAAAGAACCTTAAATCAGCGACCTGTTTCTTTAGCAGTTCAAGAGAGTTTTTTGTACATTTTACTAAAGCCTCTACAAGTTTATTATTAAAGAATGCAAACAGTTCCATGCAATCGTTATGCACTTTATTTATTTGAACTTTATGAGTCCTTTCAATAGGAGCAAATCCTACAATTATATAATAAAATTGAATATTAACAATACATTAGATAGGACTATTGAAGAAGAGATAAAATCAATATACCTGGTTCATATTTTTCTTTTATTAATTTTGTTTGTGAAACATGTTTATGCACTTTATCTAAATCCATCCAATCATATTTAACATTTTGAACAGATTCATCAACTATGAAGCCCATGAATTTATTAATGATTGTTATAACAGCTTTTTCTGCTGCCAATGATTTCATTTCAAGATCACTGCCTACCATATTTATGTAGGCAACATTGTCATCCAAAAGTTCAGTTGGCTTTTTAGGATAACTATCAAGTTTGAATAATATAGCTTCTGAAATAGATTCAAATACTTCATCGACTCTTGCCTCCTTCATATCTGTTATTTCTTTAACGAAGATATGCATAGATGTGAAAGCTTCCTTTATTTGATCACATACTTCGGTAATATTTAAAGATGTCCATGTTATCACAGACAAGCAGGGTTGAAATGCAATTTCAAGATCAGCGAGAACAATTTTAATTAAGCTGTGAAACAATACTGGTAATCTTCGTCTGCAATTTAAAATATAATTCATAATTATACTTTTTTTACGAAAAATAATTACCGATTTACCTCAAAGAATTATTTTCATCCACTAATTGCTTTACTGTTTCATAGGACGAAAAAATTTTGTCTTTACAGAATGTTATTATCTGTATAAAATCTGGTACTTCTAAATTAAATCTAGCCATATGTTCCGATTCACGTATTACTTCAATAATATACGAGTCAAAATTTAAATGATATTTATTACTGGTTGGATGTCGTATAAGCAAGGGTGAAGTCAATGCCAATCGAACCTTCAAATAAAAACATTTAGTAACGTAAATAATCATTGCTATTATAATAACATATGCAAATAAATACAGTAATTATACTTAACGTACAATTTCTGAAGAATCATACCATGCTTTATGATATATTAATTCATAATGTATAAAAACACTGATTAATGCATTATAGATTTTAATACACCTTTGCATATAGTCGTGACTAAGCACTCGAATACACTGTTTATATGTTTCCATTGGACTTTCAATACGCCTATAAAGTTGTCTAATCCATAAAATACGACCAGAAATCGGTGGAACATTTCTGGGTATTGGTGGATCTGATCTATCTTCGTTATATCGGTCTCGCACATCTTCAATTTCTTTTTGAAACAATGTAGCAAGTTCTAGATACTTCCTATCAATTCTCAGATGCTTAAACTTCAATTTCTGAAATCTATGCAAACAGTAAACTATTGGAATAACTTTTTAAAACATTTATATATCGAACACTCACCTTGCTACTACTCTCAGTGCTTCTGTTATATTAGGAGCCTCCGAAACACATTTATAAAAAAATATTCGTAAATCTGTCTCTGTTTGTGCAACATTTTTTTTAAATTTATTGTAGTCAGTATCAAAATACGGTTTTCTATGATCCAGAGGATCATAATCTTGAGATGAAATATCATGGAAGAAAGACGTAAATTTATTTGCAAATACATCTATTCCTTGTATAGCTGAACTATGTAGAATTGAATAAGTTAATGTTATCTGAAGAATATCCATGATCTGAAATATATGTATCACACTTATTATTTTACAATTATTATTTTCAACATATCATTACGTCTACTGTAATAAATAGTTGCTAACTTTTATTATTCTGTTCTTGAAAGTATTAAACTTTCCGAAAACGTACATCTCAGATACTTCAAAAGGCTTTTCGTCAATGGATTCTCTTACTTGTTTACACATTAAAATATAATATTCATAATATTGTTCACACAATTTTTTACAATCCTATAACAAAATAATTATGCAATAAATTTAAAAGTCAATCATGCTAATAGATTCAATTCAAAGTATATATTATTAAATATGGAATAATTACCTTTATTTTAGATATCATCACACATTTAACTTCATTCCAAACTGTTACTTTGTTATTGTCCGTAAGATAAGCTTTACATGCTAAAATCATTTGATTTGTCATCTATAAATTAAATGAATTTATTCTACTTGTTTAAAATTCGAATATAATCTATAATTTACAGTACTTTTACAAAAACTGCTGTGACCATTCTTCTTGTGTTGAAAAATCTTGAAGTAGCATATATCATTCGTATAGCATACATAAGAGGGGGTAAATATTCTCCAATTTTAGTTGGATCAAACCTGTATAAAGGCTGAGTAAATTTTTCTAATGCATATAAATATTTTACATTATCCTCTGCAAGAATCTGTATGGTTTTAACATGGTCTTCTAGAATTTTCCATTTCTAAATATAAATGCATAATATATCTACTATTATTATTCTCTATTGTATATCCATTTAATAAATTAATAAATATAGAAATTATATCTATATTTACCTTTATATGTTTGGATTTTACTTGTGTTAAAAATTCTATGTGCTTTTGAGTAGTGGGAGATTTAATGTGTTCCATTATTGATGAGAAACGCACTAAAAGTCTTCTCCAGTAAAAGAGTTCTACATTTGGTCCCATTGTTTCAGTTTCTCTGCGTAATTGTTGACTTTCTACAACAGCCTAAATCAATTAATTTAATAAGTATCATATTTATAGTATACTCAGATTAATAAAGATACATAGTCACAAATTTTACCCTCTCTATACTCTTCATCCATTTTCTGACAATATGTTCTACTGCATTAATAGCTGATAGATTGCTAGCAGTCTTTTTTAAACTATCTCCTGGCATTGCCAAGTACATGTTAAATATTTTCCAGTCAATTTCAAATTTCACTATGCTCTCCAAATCTATCTTGGTCACTGAAAAGAATGTATATAGTAGAATGAGAATTATGAACAACAATATTTAATTGTTAATATATACAACTTACTACTCAGAAATTCACAGAAATCTCTAAAATCGCAAATAAAATTATTTATCACTTTCTCTCCAGCTTCATTTTTTGATAATTCACCCCATAATGTGTTTGTAGTTATCGCTGGCAGATTTAATCTTAAAATTAATTCTGATATAGCTGCAAGTGCACTCTGGGATATAGGATTAACTTCTGCATAAGCATAAAATGTTTCCTAGTAAAATATGTCAAATTTAATATACAATTATATACAAATTTAGTTCTGTCAATCATATATGAAGAATCATACTTCAAGTAGGTGTTTAGTTTCAAAATCTATATCTGATTTTAATCTATAAACTATAACACATTTGCCAGAAAGCTCTTCAGTAGAACCATCAGTTACACAGCAACGTGTCATTCTTTTAATCTCTTCATACTGTGAATTCCACCTTCCTGATTCTATTGCAAAAGATTTTTTAAATTAAATGAGGCTCTATAATACAATCATTTACAGTACCATGTGATGGTGGTTCCATAGATTGAAAATGTATAAGCATTGCACGTTTTCCATCTTTGGCGAGGAAATTATCAAAAGTACTAATGTATTCATCTTTATCAATAATTCCTTCTTCCAAAATATCAGGATCAACATTCAAGATAAAAGCTACAACTTCTAAAAGCTGCCTATGTGTCGCTTTTAGCAATCCTTGTCTAACTTGTCGCTGTTCCTTAAATTTTGCCTAGAAATATATATACAATAATATGGTTTATGCAATAGAGCTTAATTATAATTCGTATATATGTATACTTCACGTACAAGACGCTCTTTCAGAGATTCGGTAGTTAACGATTCTAAACCAACTCTTCTTTTCAATAATTCAGCAATGCGGCGGTCAATTGCAGGTTTCGTATAATCCCGATCTGCAAAATATGCAGCTATATGAGCCATTATATATATCAAGATACAATATAACGCATGAATAACGAAAAAATCACATTCACATTCCGTTCAAAGTGAACATCAATGAACTCGAAGATAAAAATTTGAAGGGAAAATAACAAAAAATTCTTGTATGGTGTGTTGCAGATTATCTTCATTTATAAGAATTAAACAATACAAATTTGTACCTACATTATTTCTTTATTACATAAATGGTACAGATACCTTTTGATCATACATTTGATAATGTGCATCTAAGCACGTGTCTCGTAATTTTGAATTCATTCATAAATTTATCATTACTATGCACGCATGCGTAGCGAAATGATATTGCACAGCACCTGCAGTGCACGTCAAATTGCAAAGGTTAAAACAGATAGCACAAATGAAACCATATTTACAAGACGCAAAGTTACAACAAAAAGGAAGTTAATCGTAAATTAATCAAAGTGATATACACTATCCTTCTTGATTTAATATCTCTTTACAAAGTTTTCAGAATGTGCATTTTTAACCATGTTTTTGTATCCAGTTTCAATGCATAATTGACTACCGATGCCTGATTTAAGGTTAATACATATTTTATAAATCTTTTGCGACCGATTGCGTGAAACTATACTGTTATAAATATAAGAAATATAAATTATGTCGACTCTATATACAGACTAAAACGAAATAAAATAGATTTTTGAGTGCCCAATGGTTCTGTTTATCCCTATTTCACTTTCCTTTTAATAGCATTGAATATATTTATTTTAGAAGATAATAAATACAATTCCTTACATTTTTATATGCAATATCATTTAAATAGATATTATATTTTATTTTCTATATTTCTACTGTATTTATAAGTGTTACATTTTATAAGATAAGTTGTAGATGTTCCGCTTTTAATATTTAAATTATTTGATCATTTTCAGATAAAAGTGTGCATTTTTTATTTCATAATTATATTTATTACTTCTATGATAAATATATTTGGAATATATATTCTGAATATTAAGGTAATTACATTGTTAAGTGAAATTTTTGTATTCACATGAATTTATTAAACCCGTAAGAGCATGTGGAATGCATTGAATTATCGGGCACAATGTTCAAATTGGAATCATATATAACACCAGTGATTCTTAGTTATGTTGAAAAGTATGTGAGGAATTTTAAACCAGAACAATCTCAGGTATGATATTTCACAGTTAATATTTATATTACTATTACATTTAATTGTATTAAAAGGGTTTATACTAGTTTTCCTTTTTATATATGTTATATTCTCTTTGTATCTCAGGTGTCTTTATGGGATGGTGATGCATCATTTCGAAATCTTGATTTGAGATTAGAAGTTTTGGAAGAGCAATTTAATCTTCCTTTTGTCTTTGTTAGCGGTCATATACATGAATTGCTTATACATGTTCCTTGGGTAAAAATCACTTCAGAACCAATTGTTATTACAATAAATACTATAGGTGAGTACTAAAAAATGTATGATAAAGTTATGATATCTATAAATATGTGAAAATAAAATTTGCTTTCCATGTGTAGAGTGTATTCTGAAATTAAAAGATGATACTAAAGTGGAAACCAGTACTTCTGGATTACAGAAAAGACAAAAAATATCACAGTAAGTGAACCTTCTTTATTTACAATTATATTCTGATATGTAATATAGTGATCTACTGTTATTTTATTAACAGAGAAGAAGCCCCACCTGGGTACATAAAAAGCATAGTAACAAAAGTTGTAAATAACATAACAATCAATTGTAATAATTTAATTCTAAAATATGTGGAAGAAGACATTGTTCTTAGCGTAAACGTGAGATTTTTAAGTATGCAGACTGTTGATAATAAATGGGAACCAGCATTTACTGGTATACATTCTATATTTTAATAACTATAGTTAATTATGTATACTGTAATCATACATATTTTTAGATGTCAATGCATATGAAATTATGCTGAGAAAAGTAATTACAATTCAAGATATAACATTATGTTTGGACAAAATGGATGCTTCTGGAAAAATAGAAATATATCAGGTATTTACTTTTTTAATACTATGACAGACTATATATTTTTTAACGAAGAATTCACAATTGTATGATTCTTTCATTTAGGATCCTGTTTTATATAGATGCTCTGTTATGATACGTTTGATTATCAACTATCACAATAACACAGCTAGAAGAGCTTCTGTTACACGTTTAGACCTTCACTGTCAGAAAATGGAGTTTAGTATAACAGAACAGCAAGTACCAATGCTCTTGAGACTAGCTGCACTAATAATGGTATTGCAAACAAAACAATTTCCACCTAGTAAAGAGAAGTCCTTAATCCCAGTTGAAGAAAGAAATGGTAGTATAGAAGGTCTTATATTATTCCATGAACAATATTCTTTTAATAATTATATTTATACTTATTATTATTAATTATTATAGATGATATTATTGACCATGTAAGTGGAACTGCTACCGATATTAATGAATGGAGTGAATTGGCTTGGGATATAGTATCAGCTTTAATACCCATTGATTGGGATAATGATTGGTCTATGGAACAACAAATGGCTTATTCTGAACACACTATTCATTTGGGTGTATACGTACATGATGCCACTTTAACTTTTAAAGTACACATTTAAAAAATGTTTAATTATCGTTTAAAAATATTAATAATTACGAAACTAAATAATACAAAGTTAACTCTTTGTCCAGACAGTAGAAAACATTAAGGAGCAATTATTTTATAAATCACGGAAGCTCAGGTATAAGTCGTTTCTAACGTTGAGATTAAATGGTGTTGTGGTGGATACATTGCTTCAAGGAATTGCTATGACTACCTTTCAAATTGGAATGGGTTGTATACGAATATATCCAAGAGGAACCTGTAGTTGTGGACATCTGGAAGTAGTTGATGGAGCTCAAGTAATATCTTATATCGCTTTTTAAAATTTATTATTTACCATAAACTGCATCTAACTTAACAATCTTTGTCCAGCCACCTTTATATTTAATAGCAGGAACATTATATACTGATTATTTAAAAGATACATTATTTGACGATGATTCAGTAGAAAACAAAGGGAAGAAAAGAGATTACAAACAAGGAATTTATTATTATTTAAATACAGTATCAGGTAATCAAAGTATAATGAGTGTACACATAAAATTGTGCAGATATAAAGTATTTTTTTTTCAGAGGAAAGACTAATAGAACGATGTCCTGCATTTGCTATGGATTATGTTCACTGTGTTGAATTACCAGATGACATTACCCCTGAAAAACTGGCGGAATTTGGATCTAATTTTGAATACAGGTAATTTTGAAATATTGAGAAAATCTACAGTATCGGTAATTAGAAGAGATATTGAATTTACATATCATTACAGCAATTTTCACGAACGTAGAGTTATGAGACACATTATAGGCGACTTAACTATTAGATTATGTTCTGGTGTTTTTCATCGCATTGATACAATAAAACAAGCTGCTGCAAATTATGATTACAGTCCATATCTTGTTTCAAAACCAGGTATTTTTATGATTTTACTGCAAAAACAGAGATGTGATATTCTCGCGAAGTCATTGTTTATACATTATTATTTTTAGATCCATTGGTAGACGAACTTCCGCCAGTTACATTAGAAGAATATGAATCCTTAAGAGAAAATGTATCTATGGTTAAAACAAAGTTGATGATAGTAAAAGCATCTCTCCAATTACAATTAGCTGATCATTCCATTACGGGATTGCCACGTCAACGAAAACTTGTTGAAAATAGAGTATGTATTGATTGTATTCATATATACATGCAGAAGTTTACAAACATTATTTATTACTTTGTATATATTATTTCGTTAGACGGCACCGTTAACACCTGCTCTTACGGACGATCCTTTTATGAGCATTGAATGTGATGAAGTAATACTAACTATGCTGCAACCATTATATCCGTTTAGACTTGCTGCATGTGCATCGAAGCAAACTGATCTTTCCACGGAAATGTTCGATCAATGTCATAAAATTATTACACTTCAGGTATTACATAAAAAGAGAATGCTATTACATTTAATGTATTCGCTCGATAAAAATTATATTTAACTAGGTAACTGGGGCAAGAAGTCAACTTTACTTAACGAAAAATTGTCATACATCGATAATAATGCCTTATTCAATTCAGTGCGGAGCAACAAAGCTATTGTATCCCCAGTACTGGAGAAATGTTGATTTAATACATGAAACATACTCAGTTCACATAGACAGCATCACAATCACTGGAACAAAAGCAAAATTAATGGTTGCTACGTCTATATTGACTTCAATTTTCAATCCTACTGATACAACGAACCCTCTTGTATGTTCCTCTTTGTTCAATGATGCTTGTCAAGAAATAGGTGTGTACAGTAAAACCAATTACTAAGAAGTACTATATATATATATATATAATAATAATAATAAGTTATGAAGATATTTAATATAAGTACACATTTCAGACCCAATATACTTAGAGCTGTTATTAGAAAATATAAATTGCAAGAAAATTTCATCGTTGGTTACTATTTCAAATAAGATAAGCATACATTCAATGAAAATGTTTGCTCTAAATGAATCACAGCAGGCCTTTATTTTCTCAGGTCCAGAAAGCAATGTTCATGGGTTGGTATATTTTGTAAATTAAATGATAAAGTAAAATTAATATTGAATATAATCGTCCTATTCTTAGCGAGGCAGAAAATAAACTATTCCTAACAGCTGTAATACAATTTCCAAAAAATGTTGAGAAACAAACGCATCCGCCTCTTCTGTCGCTTCAAATGGCAGACATCAGAGCTTCACTGGATCCATTACTGTTTAAATGGCTAGAATATCGTGTAACATACAATAATTTAGGTACTTTATGTACAACAAAATATGAAACGCAACAGCATCTTGAAGGTACATCTTCCGATACTGGAACGAAGAAAAAGACATTTCCCAGTTTACACGAAAGTGTGCATAGCTCTTCAGACAAAGAAAAAAGAAAATCAGTTGTGACAACTGAGAAATCAAAGACTGTACAAAATGATGATCTCAAGAAACGGCATGATTCTAAAACTGATAGTGATATACAGGTATATTTTCCATATATTGTAAAATGTATATATAATTTCAAGTATGTTAAAATATTTTTGTTAGTGACTTGAGTATATTCTTATTAGTTATAAAGAAGTGATATATGATAGAACTTACAGAATTTGGGAATATTGGCCAGATTAGCAGAACTATATCCATGGTGGTGTGGACTTGTATTAAGTGGATGTGTTGGACATATTGTTATATATATACCGTCGAATACAATGAGTGGTATTGGTGCATATGGTAGGTTGATGTACTGATGTAATGATATTTTTTATTCGAACAATATGTAATATGTATTTTTTTTTTAATAATTCAGGTATAGAAGAAGCAAAAGACAGAGCACTAAATACCGATAACGACTTGCAAATGTTGATAATAAAGTTACCCACACTTATTGTTCATTCCTCTAACATAAGTATTGAAATGCTAACACCTCATCTTCAGAAATTACCAGTTAAACTACCAAAATCTATATGGACGAATAGTATGTTATCGATGAATAGAACTTTTAAGTAAGAATATCAATGATACAAGATATTTGTATTACAATTTGTTTCAGAATTAGAAAGCTTTCCGTGGACATTGAGTCTCGTCGAATTCCACTGTTATATGTTACAGCAACACACACAAAAAAACTTCATTAAAAAAGTATCATTAAATGCTACAGTTGCTCTTACAACTAAATTTACAATGTCTCCAACTGGAGGAAATGTACTGTCTTCATTAGGACTTTGTGTTCATATTGATAATTCTCCTATTATCATTTCAGTTTCCGAAGAACAGGTATCGCTATAAAAATATGCGTCATGTATTTGATGTCCATACAAAGTAACATGGTTGTATAAAATTTATTTGATGCAGATAGTATTCATGAACAAAATAATTTCAAACATTCTTTGCGTGCTACGAGTTTCAACTGCTGCTGACAAAAGTGTTGTAGCTAGTACTTTGAATACCGAAACGCAAGTAGTTCTTCCTATCATACCGCAAACTCCATCTACGCCAACACAATTACTATATCCGGAAGATACAACAACTACTTCAACCGTTTCTACATCGAAAGATGATATTATGCAAGGTACATTAAACATATACGTAGTTATCATTTAACGTTATATAGAATTATATCCTTTTTAGAATCAGACGAATTAGTTTTGACGGCGTGGATTCAATGGACTATTACAAAAATCGCATTTAAATTATATGTGGCAGAAGTAGGAAGTTCATCTTCATTGAAACTAGTTCTTGAATTAGAAGATATTATTACCTCATTAGATCTGCAACCCGTTTACCTAAAATTAAAAAGCAAAATTACAACAGCTACTATATTTCATTACACTAGGTATAAAATTATATCAGTAAATAATGTATATAACTGCAATGCAAGAAACAGTAGAGGTATTTTTTGGCAGAGCCCCGAATTCACCAACTTGGGACATTGGTGAATATGTAGGTGCAATACTCTGTGGAAGAGAAGATAGTTTAGAGAAAGGTGATGATTCTGGATTTTTGAGTTTCACTGTGACCAGGGCAAAGTCGGGAAACGTTCATACACGATGGGGTACTTATAAACGCCACAGAAGCCAGAAGGTATTTCAAATAAAATAATAATTAATCATCTGAAGAATAATGATGATGATGTATGATTAATTACAATTTCAGAAAGACATTGTAACAGAACCTACTCTATCTAGTAATGCTTACATTTCTGAAGTGGTTGTAAAAATCCAAATGGTGGATATTATTTTACCACTTACTATAGTTAGCAAGTATGTACAACTACTGAAACCATTCACTTGTTTTTATCAAACTATTGAAAAAGATTGCATTGAAACTCCTGAACAAAATGCAACAACAAGTTTAAGTAGCATTGCAAGTCTTGATAATGAAACTTTACCATTGATATATCTGGATTTTAAGGGTCTCAGACTAATGTTACCAGCTTCAAACATAATTAAATTGAAACCGCAACACGATTTGCTAATGCTGCAGGTAATAATATATGTTAAAATAAAAAAAGGAACTGCAGTAATTTAAAGATAATATATTTATTTCTACAGTTAGATGGAATTCGCATCACTCCACATGCAGAGAATCCAATCTGTAGAACACCTTTGAGATTAGACATATATCAACTTGCAGCCCAAGCAAATATTTTAAATATACCAGGTTCCGCTGTAGAGGATCGGCAGTATCAAATTAATATAAATGGCATATGCGCTCATACGACTACTTGGAAAAATTATCAAATGAGCATAAACAAGGTTTGTTACAAATATATTTCAGTAGTAAGTTTGTAAGATTGAAACTATTAAATTATTTAATCTGCAGAAAATGTCTCAGTCGTATCTTTACACAATGAACGAAAATCCTGCCTTAGAATGGAATAAACTTGGACATGGAAGTAGTTTGGAGCAACAATTTTCAACTCTTCCATTAGTGTCAAAGTATGTGAGAATTAAAAAATGCCATTAATAGTATTACAAAACTATTTATAAACTACATGTGCTACAGGTTTGATTTATGCCTAATCATTGCGCCGCCGATTTTATTTAAACCGGATGTAACAGTATGCGGCAGTGCTATTGAAGTTAACTGTATTACAGACATTGAAGTGACTGTAAATTTAGATCAAATTCAGTTAATTTCGATATTAAACAACGAATTAAAAAATGTATTATTGGGCAACTTTGAGCCACATAGAACTTCAACTGAGTCCAGTAATACATTTCATAAGATTTCTTCAACAATGGGAACTATTAAACAAATTACTTGGACAAAGCAATCATCCGATGATGTGGATGTTGATTTTACTAAGGATAGTGGTATAGATTTCGAAACGTCCAGTGTGAATTCAACCATTGTTGTAAGTTTCGTTCGTTTATAATTTCATTGAAAAATGATTTCTTTCAAAAGTACAATTAGAATACTTTTAATACTTTATACTTTTATTAGGGTAAACCAACAATTCCAGAGGTTTCTGTATTATTACCCTTCGAATTCTTGGTAAACTGTGGTAAAATAACATTTCTACTTTATGATATTCAGAAAGCAAGTACAAAATATCAAGTTGTAAGTGGATTTTTAATTGAAATAGAACCTTATAGGTTGTGGTGTTTATATTCCTAATGACAATTATAAAATTCATACAGGATATAAATGAAATTGAAGAAGATGAAGGTGAAAGTCAAAAGCAGCCACTAGTTTATATTATGGTTAATCAACCAAATATTTATTTTTCACAGCAACATCCTTCACAGAAAGTACAAGTATGTTGAATTTTAAGTAAATTTAATTCTTGGTAGAATTCTTTCTTATTGGTATTCTATTAGGTATCATGTTTCGATGTAACCATGGCATTAGGAGAGAAAGAGAATTATGAATTATATTCCATACCATCAGAGAAAGATTTTAAATTGTTCATGATTGAAACAAAAAGTGGAGATTTACATCCAGATACAGGCATACCGCCATCTTTTGTAACAATGAAGTATGAAAAGACTTTAGGGAAAAAGCCACAATTTTCTGTAGATATGGGTAGACCAACAAAAATTTATTTCTCTTTGTCAAGATTAAGTCAGATATATGTTATGAAAAATAAGGTAATATATACAGACATTATGTTCAATTATGTAGATTTAGAGTTGTTTACATTTTTCATTTATTGCTAGATATTATCGTGCTTTACAAACCAATGCGAAACACCAACAGAACAGTTCGACGATATAAAGATATTATCGACGACAAAAACGAAGAAATTAAATTGGCCTGATTTAAATATGAGCACTAAGCAAGTTGTGTTATCTTTGAAAACAGATTCTGGTGCTGAAATAATAATCAGTTTAGCTTCTTTATCTGGGAGCGTTACATCTCTTCTTAGACCAGATAGAATATATTCTAACACTTCTGTAGATTCATTCATCATATCAGCAATACTTAATGAAAATATAAAAGTGCTTTTAAACCCATGGTGTTGCAATATTACCGTTTGTCTGCTTTGGGAGTCATGGCAGAATACTGACTCTATTCCCCAAATACACGTGCAAGCAGACAGTGACAGTCTTTATTTAGATTTTGGGCCTGAACAAATAAAAATTATAAAAAATGTTATGCAAGATTGCCAGTTTTTATTGAATGAATTAACAACAACTCCTTCAGAGTGCAAAAATAATGAGAAACAAATTGTACTGTCTACTGAACAACATTATAAAGATGATCTTAAAGCAGGTGCATTCCAATTTGTCAATGGTAACGCCGATGAATTACCATTCCCATATCAAGTATGTTTGTCAATATATTTACTACAGTCAAGATAAATTTAGTAACTTAATGAATATAATTCATTGTTTTATGTAGGTTGTATTCTTTGCTTATCCTCAACAATCAATGGCATGGCGGTATCCACAACCAAGAACATTGACTAGAATACATGTATCACCAGTTCCATTTGAAGTAAGTAAAATGTATTATTTATACGTCTTTTACAATATTTTATTACTAAAAATTATTTATGTTTAAAGACATTGGACTCCGATAGCGGTTACATTGACAAAGTACCCTGTGTTCTTGAATACTGGAGTGATTGTCACATGTCCTATCAACGTTACGTTGATTTCTACTTATCAGAAACAGATTCGTACCGATTAGAACTGCCTGAAAAAGCTCCGGCTCGAGCAGTCGCTTGCATATGGCGAGTAGTTTTATTGTCAAGCAATAACAAGCCACTTTCGAAGACGATAATATCTGCACGCGTTCTCGCGGCGTGTTTACGCATCGATTCCTATTTTAATTCGTCGATTATACCCAATATACAGGCCGCTTTGAATATTGGTGCCATTCATTTATCGATGTACAACCACGTTAATCCAACTATGTATAATAATTTGCAACGGCCGTTAAAAAATTATACGTTGAAAGGTACTAGTCCTGAAACTCAATGCTTCATGACTTTGGAGCATAAAGAAGCCATCCTTGTACTTAATAAATGGATAGATGGATCCACGTTAATTGATATCAGCGGTACATTTGGTGTGCATATATTAGACTATACACATTTGACTATGCAAGAAATATTAGATCCTTTAGAAGCAAGATTTCAACTGTCGTTATCGGACAAAACGGATATATCATTAACATGTAGTCCATTCTCATTGAAGTTAGGACCAACTATAGCACATACTCTCGCCGTTTCTACACATTTATGGCTTACATTTTTAGAAGAAGATAACAAAAACATGATTCTATTTACTCGTTACGTCGTAGCCAATGACAGCAATGTCCCCATCCTCTTTGGTCAAAGTGGTACTGGAGACAATACACTGCTAGAAAGTAGACAATGTACTTTCTACTCATGGAAACACTTTGATAACAAGATGATAAGGATAGCAATAGAGGAGAATATTTGGTTGTGGAGCAAACCATTCTCTGTGGCCACTGATGGTATTCAAGCGATTGAGTTTAACAATTCTGTAACTAAAGCAACAGCATTTGTAAGTGTTAGATCTCTCTCAGCCACTCAGAAGTTAGTGACCTTCTCTGGCCAACTGATAATTTCCAATCAACTGATTGATAACTTCGAGATGAAATTAGTTAAATACGAAGGTGATATTGGTTCTAAAGTTACTGTATTGAAAGACGTTTATCCTGTTCCTGGTAAAAACTGTCCACCATCTGTTATACTCGATGGAAACAAGAAAATGGCCATACGTTTACGCTTCACCAACATGCCTAATTTATCTTGGACAGGGGATATTCCACTTCAACCTAATGCTAAGTGGGGGCAACCATGGCTGGTTAAGGTACCATTACAAGAACGTGGACAATTTTTAAGTATTTGGGTACGAATAGTCACACAGGTCATTCAAGATAGAATAAAAGTGCTAGCCGTACTTAGCCCACTGTACATGATTAGATCACATTTACCAGTACCAGCTAGAGTACAAATGGATACACCTTCATTGAAAATTTCATTAAGTACAATGGTGAATGGCCGTGGTGAGCGACAACAGCTATACTGTCCTGGAACGTTCGAACATTTCCATCAATTAACATTCCAATTGGAATCTGGTGTATCCACGTCAAATCCATACGTACCATTGTCTTATAGTTCCGTCGACCAACGAAAGTTTTTCAAAAGACCCGAATTCGAAGATATCGATGCTATTCTAACAAGTCTTGAAGATCAAAAAGAAGAAGAACAATGGCCTTTCCAGGGAGATATGATAGAAGAATGGATATCCGCTGAACAACCTCAAACACATGTTCAAGTAAAATACCAAGATGCTGGATTAGTTTCCAGTACTTTGTTGTTAGAACTACAACCGTGGTGCTTTATGTTGAATTCCATGGGTTGTCACTTGTCTCTAGTATCGGAAGATACAGAACTCTGTCAAATACCTCATTACGGTATCGTAACACCACCAAAATTGGAAGGTACGTTTCACTTATGTGTCGGTGTTGGTGATACATTTTATACATCTCAGTCTCTTCAACTGGCACGTCCTGATTGGAGTCAGAGTTTCTACATGCCTAGAATTGGAGGACTCATCCCAGTTGATGGAAACATTAAAACGTGTGTAGACTGTTGTTCGAGTGTATCCATTATGAGTATTAATTCAAGCATGCACGAAGACATGAGGCTCATACGTATAACAAGTAGTCATGTCATCAGTAATTTAACATCTCAAGAATTATGCATTGCTACATTGGCAGTGCATGAAGAAGAAACTAGGCTTGAATTACCTAACGATCTCACTCTTTATAGTCTTAATATTTCACCGAGCGAAGATCAGAAACAGGGCATACCAATTACACAATGGTACACATTGTACATGGAAGACATTATGGAACCCCTTGTACTTTATATATCTTTAAGTTTAGGGCACAAATGGTCTTGTCCAATACGAGTTGATCAAGGCATGAGTCGTAAATGCGTTGCCATTCCAAATGGTTCTACAACTATGCCAGTAGTCATTACAACACAAGAAGACAAAGGCACAACGTATATAATGATTCATGTGGATCATCATCCTCAGTTGTTGATTGAAAATACTTGCGCTTTCAAAATTTTATTGGGTCAGGCGAACGAGACAGGAGAAGTAATAACGCCAGACACTTCACACTTTACATGGACTTGTGAAGTGGAAAGTGGTGCATCTTGCCACTATTCCATTCCATCCATTAGCAACAGGTTGCCTGATGCGCCTGTTTCAACTGCATCCAATGTATTGTTATTTTCTGCTGTAACAAATCATAATGAACAGGCGATACAAAACAAAGAAGTGCGGTGGTCGAGAGGCATAAATTTATCTGCAATATCAGGGGTATTAGTAGACCAATATGTACGATTACCATTTTATGGAGATGTAAAATTGATCATGCAAAATCGTTGTTATACTACATATATTAGTATTGTTCCTATATCACAAGAAGAAGTATCTGCAAGAGACATTAGAAGTCGACTTTTGCGCAAAGAAACTGACATGAAAGAAATAGAAACACTGCATACTAAATACATTGATCAGGCAGAGGATGATAAAACAATAAATGTACAGGGTTCAGATAGTTCAACATCAGTGACGACATTTTTCTCGGCTCAAGACGAGAATTTAATTACAGAAATTGCAACACCTTTGCAAACAAATCCGGAACGATCAATTACGAATATGGACAATTTAAAAACTAACGCAAACGATGATGCGAAGGCTGCCGAAGGAAATATTTCTAAAGAAGGGTCTGCAACTATACATCTTCGCGGAATCAATATTATTATCATGCACGATATGAATGAAAACGCACAAAGAATTGAAGTTGCCAGTTTATCTATGACTGATATTATAGTCACTGTTGCTGCAAGATCTAGAATCATCAATCTAAGTGCTTTCATAGGCGATCTTCAATTAGATAATCAAATGTTTGATCAAGGAGGTTTTGATTTTCCTGTAGTATTGATAAGTCAAAGTCCACTAGTCACAAAGGGGGTAGGATACTACACACATAATTGTTTAATAAATAAAATAGAACAAATCAGGGAAAATTCTTTAATAACCATTGATTATATCATGGAAAATCAAGGACATATTAGAGGTACATAACAATGTGATTTAATTGTCTAAGAATTGTTCAACTTTGTACTAATTTATATTAACTTATATATTTCAGCGTCAAAAGAGCTTTACTTAAAAATTGCACCTATCAGTGCCTATATTGAAGACACGTATATTACTCAATTACTAAATTATGCAACTTCAATGGTTCCTCCAAGATTTTTTGCACCAGATGATATAATAAAGTCAAAGACATTAATTTCAACTACTGAAGTATGTGTGTCCAATTACATAATGGTCGATGCAAAAATATTAAGTGCGCCCTTAAGACTGCAAAACTTGAAAATAGAACCTCTTTCGATCCTGTTAAGTGCTCACACGTCTGTGCGATTATACGTAGCTTTAGATCATTCTCCCTTGTATTTTGGCACCTTTGAAAAGAAAAATATTTTAACTACACCATATAGACTTGGCAATGCACTTACTATGCATTATTTATCTGGTGCTATTTTTGGAGCAGGTACGATAGAAATGAAAGCTACTTACATTTATTATTAATAAGAAATTTTATAGTTCCTATATAAACATTAAATTGGATTTTAGGATGGGTAGTTGGATCTTTAGAAATATTGGGATCACCTGGAAGCTTAGCACAAGCTCTTGGCTCTGGACTTAGAGACTTTATATCGCTTCCACTCCAAGGTTTATTGCAAGGACCTTGGGGTTTCATTGTAGGGATAACGCACGGTTCTGCTAGTTTGATGAGACATGTTACCGCAGGTATCAGCTTTTTAAATTCGTACTAAAATATACGCATTTTCTCGACATTCTATTAAAAAATGATATTCGTGTAGGTACTTTGAATTCTGTGACAAAGTTAGCATCTAGTGTGGCACGAAATCTAGATCGCCTAACACTTGATGAAGAGCATTTACAAAGGCAAGAAGAGTCGAGAAGAATGAGACCTCAAGGCATGGCACAAGGGCTTTATCAAGGCTTAACTGGATTAGGCATGAGCGTTCTAGGTACGCGATGAAACCATTTCTTTATTGCAGTAAGAACTTTCATAGTAATTCCATTTCTTTAGCTGCGGTTGCTGGCATTGCTCATCATCCTTTGCAACAAGTATGGTCAGGTGAAATGACAACTAAAAGTCTTGTGACTGGTGTTGGACTTGGATTGGTTGGAGTAGTTACAAAACCTTTAAGTGGAGCTGCAGAATTAGTTGCACTGACAGGACAGGGATTACTTCAGGGTGCTGGTTGGAATTCCTTACCTACTGTAAATATTTAAAGATACGTATCTTGTTTCTCAACGTCGTTAATAAAAATTGAAAAAAATAAAATACTCCTTTCAGCCTCGGCAAAGACCAGTTGTTCAATATACAACAGGAAATAATGCATCCATTAGATATGCTTGGTGGTTGTTACCTCTGCTAAAAAACAATCATGGCAACATTTTACATGTTACCAATGCAGATTATGTAATTCAGCAAGGCAGTAATCATGCTGTGACATTAGTTCTAACAAGGCATGCATTGTTATTAGTTAATGCAGCTGAGGATACAGTGGAAAGAATATTTTTATTGAAAGATTTAACGAGTGCCGATCACCACCTTGATTCGACCATAAGTTTATACTGTATTCCTGAAACGACACAAACGAACAGGCCTGTGTCACCTACTCCGTATGAGGTACAGTATATATTTTATTATTGTACTATTGAAATGGTAAGAATTATCGAAACTTTTCTAGATGGATCAAGAAATGAGAGCACGTGTAGAGGAATACGTGAGAACCAGTAGTACAGGTTTAGCCAGCGTTTCAACAAATAGCGATGGACAGTCGGATACTTTTGAAAACGTTACCACTCATTCTGATCGTACACTTACCTTTTACGTTTCCCCTGATTCGCGTAATTATTTATTATCGCTGTTTAACATCGCCAAACGCCAAAGTCAGGGCAGCGGATTCAGAGTATTATAAAGAATAGATAGAATGTGCTGCATAATTTTTATTTATCTGCGAAGAAAGTGGATAAATAATATTTTTGAGAAATGTAAAGCGATAAGTCAGTATTAAACTTCAAGTTTAAAAATTATCCGATAACTGTAATACGTGTTTCACGTATTAGTTATATGAGGTTCATATGTACATATCTATTACAACATTTGTAATTTTATTTCAAAAATGTCCTAATAGACGGAATTAATGACAATATGTACTATTTAAAAACATTCAGATAAAGAAAATGGTTTTTCAAAGTTTATAAGAAAAAGAATGTAAAAGAGAAAAATTTCTGTATCTCTTATTTAATTAAGCAACATAAAATATTGTACATATCTCGTAGCAGCCATTTTATTGTCTTTGTACAAATTCAAGTGCAAAGAATATAATTTTACAATTAAATTTCCAAGTATTTTGTGCATATTTTTTCATATATTTATTATCAGTAACACTTGCAATTGTACTGTGTTGGTGAATGGGAAATTAATATAAAAAACTTCTTATATATTATTTGTATAATTGGGAAATCTGATATATACGAATTGAAAGTACATAGTATATGGGATGCAATAGAATGTACAAAAATTTTATACATTTATTAAAAATTATTACATTTTATTTACAATATTCTGCATAATACATTCATGAAAAATATAAAGGTGTGCTTAATATAAGAGAATCCATTCCTATTTTTTATGCTTACATAAATCACTTATTCATAAACTCGCTTTATTTCACTATTTTTATAAACTGAACCACATGATGTACACTGACTATTTTGGATGGATGTTAATAATTTCCTACATAGAACATGTTTACATGGGAGTTGATAAAAGATTCCATTAGGACAACAAGTACAACTCAATTTATAGCTTGCACTATCTTGTTCTGGTGAATTATCCAAGCATTTTAGGTGTGATAATTTTGAATTAATATCAATGCTTGCACTATTAGTGGCACAAATATTCTTTGCTTCATCTTTTACATCTTTCAAAAATGTCTCAGGGGGCTCAATAATCTTCCGTTTCTTTATTACTTTAGGTACAGTAGTAGCAGTCCGTTTATGAGACATCACGGCAACTGGCAGTTTATGACAAAACTTCTTATTTCCTTGTATATCTGTTGCAGAACAATGCAACTTTGGTTTTGGATTATTTGAAGTTTTATTGAACACATTCTCTCCTAATAAATATTTAGGAATTTCTGTTGTTTTATGTTCTATTGTACTAGATGATAATCTACGTCCTAAAACTCTTGGCAATCTTTTAACCTCCTCTGCATTACTATTTTCAAGTAGAAATTTGTCTATTCTCACTTTTAGCGCACTTGCAATGACAGGTTTACGATTTTCACTAAATGGTATACCAGTAAAGGGATCTGTGAGTTTTCTTCCCCATAATGCCTCAGTTTCTTCGTGCTTTTGTAAAGTACTTTGATCGATAATTTTTCCACTGGGCAACAAGATAGGTTGCGTCATGATTTCCCAAGTAATGGCATCTAAGAAAGACTCTGGCACATCTAACGATAACTCTAATACTTCCTTAAAACTATAATACATGTTTAATTAGAAATGCTCAATTTTCTTATAAAATTTAGACTAGATTGGAAATAATCACATTACATTTACCTGGTGTTTGTAACAGATGGCAAAATATTTTTAGAATCTTCTATAGACTTAGATGCAGAAAAATGCTTATTACATTGTTCTCTTTCTATAGTCATTGATTTATTCAATTCATGTTTGTACCATAAGGTAGAAATGCTAGCTAAAGTATCCCTCCCACAGCGTGATGCAACATTTCCCCATACTTCAATTCTCCCTAATGCAGGTACAGAGTTATCTGTTTTGCATATACATATTCTCAAATTATTTACATAAGTTGCTACATATCTCAGAGATGGTTTTATATATCGTTTCAAAAAGTTCTCAGGAACTGAGAGTGTTTCATGATTAATATTCGATGGATAAAATACCAATCCAGCATTTGAATGATTTAAAAAACCATTCGACAGTAATGTATATGGTACATTATTGTCACTACTTGTTTTAGCATATAATTGAAAGCCTGATGACTTTTGAGAACCAACATAAGGCCAGATTAAAATGTGATTGATAGATACATTACAAAGGAAAGTGATGTCAATGTTGATTGGAGGCTTGATGCTCGCATACGCCAAAAAACCCTTGCCACTGTCACTTATCAAATTAGAAACTTCATATCCTTCTGTGCTGACAGTACTGCATTCAATTTCTGGCCTCAAACGTGGATCACAGAAATTGAACAGCATATTATAAAGACACAAGTAACAACATTCTTAGATGAAAAATTGTATTATTCTAAATAAATCCATAAGTTGCCCACGTTTTTAATTCAAATAATCGTAACTCGCTTTGTTGAACAAATGGACTCGATCACATCTCAGGTTTTGTTAGATTCCATGATGAAAAAGTCACGTCAGGCCATCTACCGTGAAAAGCTCAAAACAGTGCTGACATCCAATTGTAATTGTATCAACAGATAACGCTAGAATAACTTTCTAGGTACCATTTTTTACGAAATTAAATGATATAATATATTAATGTAATAAATCAACCTTTAATTAACCTTTAATTTATCAGATGCAATTATTTACAATTTTTAGATAATGATTAGTTTATTATAATGGATATTTTTAAAGATGCTTGCATGTTATATTAGTATGATCTATATTATTTAATATACTCTATCTAAGCCTTCAACTTCTTTCTTTTTGTCTACATCTCCATTTATAGTTATAGATGTTATTCTTAACATTGTTCGATTTTGTCTCAAAACTGCAAAATAAGTAAGTGTTTAGTAATTAATCAATTAATTCTATTACTATATTGCACTAAATTGGAAATTCTTACAGTTAAGTCTGCGGAATTGTTTCCTTTTCCTCATCCTAAATCTAACAATTGTGTGAGATAAAGTTTTATCTACAACAGTTGCATCAACCGACACCAGCTCCCTATTTAAAATTGGCCTCCCAACAAGAGTAAAGTCTTTACTACCAACAAGTAATACTTTTTCCAATTTTATTTTATCTCCTGGTTGAGGTGCCCAATGACCAATAACAATTATAACATCACTTTCTGTTATTTTAAATTGTGTTCCACATAGATGAACAACTGCAAATAAACGGCCAGTTGTATTGGTAGCTATTTGTTTATTAATTTCATTTATGACATCTAAAAATAAAAAGAATATTAGTGATACACTAGTAAAAGAAATCGAAGACTGTAATTCTTAGATGAATGCCAACCAGAAGCTGCTTTTTCTTTTTCTTTATCACATTCAATGACTTTTTCTTGATAACTTGGTGATTCACGGAACCAAGGTAATTTATACCTTGGTCTGTAACCAGCTACTTCCATGTTCCATAATTTTAGTCCTACAGAAAACAAAATATACAATGGATTTTGTAACTTGTTCTCAACTGTTCAAGTAAATTATACTCTATTAATATGTTATTATCTACTGTTATTTTAAAACCATATAAATAAATTAGATATTATTATCATTATTCCTAATATAATGTTTATAATTTCACAAACTCAAAAGTGAGGTTATATAACCTCAACTTTCATGTGAAATAATCAATAAGATATTTTTCATTTTGGACGATAAATTGACGAACCTGGATAATATTGCTTATAACTTGTAACCGGAGCAATTCTTCTGAGACAAGTATTTGTGGCAAAATTAAATAATCTTGAAAAACCGGTCACAGTCGCCATGATTTACACAATGATTATTATAAAACCAATACAATGATTACGAAAGAATTTAGAAGTTCATGATGTCATGAATCAGATATCATAAATATTTTATAAAATAAAAAAACGAATTTAATATAGACAAAAGAGGGTGTCTTTTTAATAAATACTGTAGAAGAAATAAGTTGGACAATTTTGCGGGAAATTTTTAAATTGCAACATCCGACACGATAGCGCGTGAAAGTAAATAGAATGAAGTGATAAAACTATCGTTGAGATGTTATGCAACTTCATTAATAGTATATAACTTTTTCATCGATATTTGTTACTTGAAAAACTGAATTATTATTGTAACGTTTTAAATGCAATTTGCAAACAATAGTGATAACATAAACGGAAGACTAATAGTGTTTTTGTAGACTTTGTTTGTAGTTCCGGTTCAAACCAGTATGCGAAGAGATGTCGTACGTGTTCATGAACAGTTACTTGTTATGTTTAGTCGTTGTGTTGTGAAAGAATCGATGACCGTTGTATTGCCGTGAATCGTTCTTGGTGTTCTCAGTATTCCGGCTGCTTTGAATTATGCAGTTTTATAAGGAAAGGCTCCTGTCGCCCGGACAACTGAAACGCCTGAGCGAGCACAAATACAGCTGTACCACTAACAGTCTCTTGGATGGACTTCTTCAACCCTGGTGGGACTGGCTAGTCAGCAAGGTTCCACTTTGGCTTGCGCCCAATTTAATCACAATTCTGGGACTTATCGTCAACATCCTAACTACTTTGATTCTGGTTTATTACAGTCCTGATGCTAAAACAGAGGTACCATTTACATAACCTATTTTTTACATTACATTTCACTTCCTGTAACAGACTTTCAAGTTGTTGAATTATTTAAAGCTTTAATACATATTCATTATGAAATTATCATGTTACGAATTGTGTTGAAATTCTATGTGTGATAAATAAAATTAGTTTTTCAAAGTATGTTGTGTATATAAAGAGGTAAATGTTTACACATAGGTAGCATTTAAATTAGAATCACATATTTATAACATTGTATGCATATGATTCATTCCGACAAATGTGTAAAGATGTAGATATAAGTGACTTTGAAATTGATATTTCAGGCTCCTAGGTGGGCATGTTTTTTGTGCGCGCTTGGCTTGTTCATTTATCAGAGTTTGGATGCTATAGATGGCAAGCAAGCTAGAAGGACTGGAACTTCAACACCATTGGGTGAACTTTTTGATCATGGATGTGATTCTATATCCACTGGTACATGGTCAAAATATATAAATTTATCTGATTCCTTGAGTCTAATTTCCTATAATGAATATGTAAAGTAGGATCTCTAATATTCTTTGTGTTAAAGAAAACTTATAGCAATAGTAGCAATCTATTTATAGGTATTACACATATATTTACGTATATGTAAACAATATGCAATATCAACATTTGAATCATTTCCATTAAATATCTGAGTTAAAAATCTTAATTAGATGAATTTGATACAAATAACAATTGCATGTTATTAGATATAAAGCTATAAATTAATGTGAATTGATCTTAATTCTAATTTGGTATTATCTAATGAAAACATTGTACTTTCGTATTTTTAGTATTTGTTGCTCTGTCAGCGTGTATAGCAGTACAATTAGGATATTATCCAACATGGATGTTTTTCCAATGCTTTTGTGCTATGACACTTTTTTATTGTGCTCATTGGCAGACTTATGTTTCAGGTAAAGTTGATTTATACATGTGAAAATTATTATCAATGATTATGTTACTACCAATTACAAATACTTTTTAAATAGGATCACTAAGGTTTGGCAAGGTAGATGTCACAGAAGCGCAGTTTACAATTATAACTATTCATCTCATTTCTGCGATCTTTGGACCTAAAGTGTGGATGATGGAGGTTGTATCTTCTCTTTTAATAGTGGCTTGTTATCTTAACATGTATGACTAAAATATTTTATGGCAACTAATAAGTATCAAAATTTTAATATAAAAGTAACCAATTTCGTGGTACGAACAAAAATATTTATTGAACTACATACTTATCAATTGTCATAAAACACCTCTTTTCTTCAAGATTTCAGTTTTTAAAGCAAGTTTAAGTTTTGTATGACATTCGTATAACAATGGAGCATACAATTTTTTTAAGGCACAATAGTTATGTTTATAGTAAAACTTTGAAAACCGCAAACGAACACTTAATCAGTAGCATAATTACATTATAGAGCACAAAACATTAAAAACTTTCATATGACATTAAAAACATGAGCAGTTAATTTTGTGTACAAATTCACAAAATTAATACATATTCATATGCAATAATCATTCATCGATGAGAGGTTATCATAATATCGAATTCCATTGCACTTTTTTGTTTAAACCTTCATACAGTTTTACGTGTGCTTCTTTTGTTGTAATTATATATTCATATATTTGTACTATTATTTATTGCAGTTAATAAACAGACGAATTTACTATTAAATAGAAATAACCGCTGTAATAGTTGCAAACAGTAAATTGGTAAATTTGCAATATAATTAAAACGAATATTACGTAGATAAATTGAAATAAATGAATAACTTTTGTTTCGCATTCTATATCTCAAGACTCATGAAGCTTACCAAAAATATTTGAAGACTTTTTCCGCATGAGTCTAATGAGATTATTTCTTGCAGATACCATACATAGATGGTTTTATGTTTAAATATTTAATAGGAGTTATGACAGTGATTTGTGCACTGGCAAACTTATATTCCATCTTTTCGGTGATTTTCACCGGAGGAGTGGGCAAGAATGGTTCGACCGTTGCTGTAAGTTAGTCAAATTAGTCTTTTGTTTTTGGAAATATGGAAATGGGAGCAGCATGGCATGAGGAGCGACGCTGACATTACTTTTTTTGCTATGAGATTTATTACCTTAACATGCATTTTATTTCCAGATTTAACACTCATTTATTCCCTTTTATCCATTTCTTTCTTACATTCCCTACATTTCATCATTTCCATAAGAAATACGTTACTTGTATTCACATTTACAACTATTGATTATTAAAGTTAATAATAGTGGGACATATATTAAAGGTGACACTAGAATATATTTTTACAGTATAGTTATATATATATATATAAATTCAACTATAACAATACTTGTTTTCTTTATATAATATGCTTTTGAAACAATTTCCATAGAAGAAATATTAGCAATATATGATATACATTAGATGCACATTTCAAAAATATGACCCTTTCTGGAAAGTGAATCAATTTAAAATTATTACAATTAAAAATAATTAAAAAATAAGAGATAAAGGCGGAGAGGTAATAAATAAATTCCATATCTTAGTTGACTAATTTTCTCTGCAGCAATCTTGTGCCTTATAATTTATTTTTATATTGTGTTGTTCATAAGAATGGACTACAAATGGAGCGAGCTCACTGGAGATATGCCGGTTAATAATCGAAAAGAGAAATATAATGTAATATAGAATAATATAGAATAATATAGGATAAAATTTATTGTTCTAAATAATGAAATAGTTTTTCTTTAATTATCATAACAAGCGAGATTTTGTGCATTTGTTTAGATACCAGGGCTTGGTGTAGGCACAGTGAGTAACTACGTAGCAGTGATATTTTATGCTGGCTACATTCATGTATTCCTTGAATTCTGTAAAGTGTTTGAATCTGGTGGGATTGGAAAGAACGGTTCCACAATTGCAGTAAGTTCAATAAATAAAAAGCGACCAATTGCATACACATACATTTTTTTATATTTTTTGCCACTAGTATAGCAATGACATTCTTTCTTCTTTCATTCTGCTTGCCTATCTAGACTGTTGGGTTACATTACTGTTCGTATTAAAAATAGTTTTATGCATTAAATTTCTATCTCATTTCTATATATATATATATATGTATGTATATTAATTAATATGTATATTAATTTACTACAATGAACATTATTGTATGGCGTGCCAGGCTATAAAGAAATGTCGCTGATAGTCTAACATTAAATGGCAAAATTCTTATCTGTTCTCAGCATACTTTTCTACTCTACTTGTGTGCTTAGAACTGTTTGTTCGAAGTATTTTACATTCAATACAAATAACTTTGATTTAAGTAAGTATTTGTTTATATAGTCACTATTGGATATGGGAAACTATATCTCGTTTCATGGTCTAATAAAAACTTTAAGGTGAAACTGTTACCTTCAATTATTTTTAATAACTCATATGAGGTAATACAGGGGCTTACTTCCATATTATTAGAATGTACATAACTTTAACATAATATAAAAAGACCTAACATCATAATAGTTTCAGTCAAGCTTTCTTAATATAGTATATATTACATCAATGCAAAAGATTCGACACACATTTCGAAAATTTGAAATTGTTTCAAGAGCAAGATATTTTCATCACTGTTTGATACGTTGTACCTTGCATCGGTGATAGATATTTAGTATATATTAACTAATGTAAAGATCTTTCGTGTCCTTGCACAGTTGCCATACACTGGCACAGAGGTCAAGGTGTTTCCATTATGGGCTGCTGTGGGCATCGCTATTTTACTTGCACAGAGCAGCATATCCGTCATTCTAGCCGGTGGTGTCGGAAAAAATGGCTCCACCGTTGCAGTAAGTCGGTTCAGACGTTATAGGATCATTGTGTAGTGCACTTTGCATCTTACGTCAATTTAGGCCCACTGTAGATGAATAAATATAAATTTACTATATTACATTATCAGTATTGTACAGCTACAGTACTTTCAATTATTGGAAAATAAATATTGATCACTAACTATCATATATAGAAGATATTATGCATTAGTGTGGGTCTAAATTTTGCAAGAGCATCACACAGAACTGTTAACTGTATTTTTGTGTCCACTTTGGTTAACACCTTTTCCTGTGTATCTGTGAACTTATATTGGTACATCAAACATGTCGTCCTTCATTTTTAATTCCCATCCACAGATTGCACCTTTTCATATACCTGTTAATAGCTTTAAGAAGTTGCATAACTCTGAACTGCATGCGGTACTTAATTACCTGTAGGCTTACTAAAATAATCTTAGTTGCTATATACCTTACTGCTACTAATTTTAATTTATTATTATATAGACTTTTCTTGCTGCGCTTTGAATCTTTATATTTATATATTCATTTATGCTTTTTAAATATTCAATAATATTTTCTTACTGTAAGTAGCATTTTCTAAATTGTAGCTATTAATAGTCATTAATAATAGTATGCCTTAAGTATAATTCTTTTTTTTTAATTTTTTCTTAAAATTTTCGTATTTGATATATTGTAAGTATTTCATAAATATAGTATACAATATTCTAAATTCAGTTTTATGTATAAATTGTGAACGATTAATCCCCTTTTAAAACCTTTAAAACCATTGTTAGATTGAAATTTAAGCCAACCTTTTGACTATTCAACGTTACATAGTTAAATAAGTATTAAACGTTAAATATTTATATCTATTTGTGAAAGTATATAATTTATAATAATTAGTTCTCAAGTATACTTCATCTAATTGTTTTCTTAATACAATTGTATGAAAGATTTCTTCATAATATTTACTTGGTTTCAGGGAACATCAGTTCTATCTCCAATTATTCCATTTAGTTTTGTGGTAGTACCAGCTTTTATAATTTATAGAAAAAGTGCTGAGCACGTATATGAAAATCACCCTGCATTGTATATACTTGCATTTGGAATGGTTGCAGCTAAAGTTACCAATCGTTTAGTGGTAGGTATAATTGTGACCTTTTTTATCATTCTATTGAAATTGCGTATTTAATATTACGTGACATCTGTATTCGTTATTGCAGGTTGCACATATGACTAAAAATGAAATGCAATATTTAGACAGTTCACTGATCGGACCAGCCATGCTGTTCTTAAATCAGTATTTCAATTTCTTTATCAAAGAATATTATGTTCTTTGGTTGTGCTTTGTAAGTTTTTTTATTTCTATTGTGATATTTTTCAACGACTTCTCTCGAATATACTGTACGTTCATGTACTTCCTGTTTGTGCATGTTTTTAGATTTGGGTTACCCTGGATTTACTCCGGTATAGTTCTCAAATTTGCCTTGAGATCTGCGATCATATGAAGATTAAACTATTTAGGATACCGTTAGGAGATCATCGAACGAGCCAGGTTTCTAGTGCAGCAGAAAAAAATGGTACTAATAGGTCTCAGCGTAACAGATTACAAAAGAAACATCACTAGGATTTACTTGTGATAATGAATGTGCTGTATAATTCATTTTATGTATAAAAAGAGTTACACTGTAAGGAAAACCTAGGGATTTGATAAGTTTTTTGTCATTATGACTGTATATAAAAAGGAGTTTGAATAGTACAGTTCATTTATTATCACATTAATTTATAATCATGCCGTATTTGATTGAATATAAATAAAAAATCTCATCAACATGTTGGTTAAATAGTTACTCATTGTTTATCGTTGATCTGTTGTCAACGAATAAAATATCGTGAACCTAATGATCAGGACTAAAAGTAGATCAAATAAAAGAATGAAGTATATGATACAATACATTTTAAAAACAAAGAAATGATACACATAAATATTAATTAAGAGTAATTAAACAAAAAGACATGACATAAATTTTAAGTACCTTTATGCTTGATTATGATTATTTTTATAATGATCCAATGAAACTATTAAACTATTTACTTCATCTCCGTGTGTTTACGATTGATATATGAAAAAAGGGATTTGTGATACTTTAATGTCATAACGAATACTTACAAATTTCCGTGTTGTTTCTAAATTGCAGAGATATCTTTATAAGGAAACTGATATTTCTGTAACTGTCTTTGTGTTAGCACATTTTAATTACGATCTCATAAACGAGCTCATTCACATTTATAAGAAACATAGTTTTTTTTTCTTAAGTTACAGTTCTTAATAACAACTAATATGTATATAAATTTACGATGCAGGTATTCTAATACTTACATAGTCAATTATAACAGAATCTTTATAGTATAAGAAAAAAATTACCAAAGATAGTCACTCTGAATTAAAAAAGTCCTTATGTAGGAATATTTTTTTCTTTGTTTATTAAAAACTAATTTCCATTCATTACAGAACGGTATGGTATTGAAGAAATGTTATGTGTTAACATATACTTTCAAAAGTATCACTTTTTTTATTTGATTCCCTTATTTTTTGTTATCAGGTGAAGGATTGTAAATGAAATATATATATCCCATATATACGTATTGGATGAAGATATCATTTATAATTTTTAATAACTTTAAGATAATTCAAGTGTGGCCTTATCATTTATTTGCGATTGGAAAGTAGATACCCATTGTTTACAACAAATATGATATTTCATTTAAATTACTGAATGCAGTGAGAGTATATGTTATGTAGTAAGGAATATATAATTGATAAAAAAACAATATGTTGACTAAGAAAAATGATTAGATAGATTTTAAACATGGATTTTAAGTGTGATAAGAGAAAAAATTATTTTGTATTATTTACAACTTATATTTATGATTTTGTTTCAATACATTACAGTGTGATAAATATTTATTTTATTTCAAAATTTTTCATATATGAATTTTTTTGTGAAATGTATTACTTTGAAAAAAGTAGCTATAATATAAATCGCGTAGTATATTCTTAAAAGTAATTAAGAGAAGGAAAGGAAAACAATATTGTTTAATCTATATAGTAATGGAATAGACTTATGATATATTCTTCCTTGCTAAAAGAATTTTTATAAAGCTGTTAAGATTATCATGACGACAATACATCTAAGAGGCTTTCCTGCAATATGGGCGGAAAATAAATGTGTATCTAATGCTAATGTATCGTACTTTGGTTTCTGTTCGCAAACTGTAATATACTGTTTCGATAAACGGTTTTTCTATCACATGCTATCTTTCATTTACACATTTTCACTAGAAAAGCTTAATATAATATTGTAAAACTTTGAAATTACTCCCCGATTTTCCCTTCTTCTGATTTAATCCATATTAATCTTTACAAGGTTTGCAAAGGTGACTCTCTAAAATCAACTGAATTTTGCATTATAATTTAATCATGTAGGCATTTCAAACAGTAATATGCATGTTGCATTATAGTCTGCAATTTTTCATATGGATCAATTCCTTATTGGTTAAATAACATTATTTAACTGAATAACATAAAGAAAATTCAGGTATCTTTGCTAAATTGTAAATTCAATCACGAATCATGTGGAATTGTAAAAATGGCCGAATAATAAATCAGACAATTTTTTATGATACTTGAATTTCTAATTTTATAATAACATTGCTATTACAGTATATCCATTTTCATGCATGATATATCAAGTCATATTAAATGGTTTAGACTTGGCATGTCTATGGAAGCTTTACATATACTTGTTTGTTTTTGCTATTATGATAAAAATATATTTTCATCAATTGAAATTACTATTTTCATGTATATGTATTGTCACGCATCGGTTGTAATTATGAATCGAGTTTTATGCATATATTTAATATTTATGATTGAGGAAATGACTGGAACCGAGGTTTGAGGCAAATAGAAACCAACGTATTTATGAAATCTATATGTAACTTGTATGGTAAGCAGCTGAATGAAGTGCTCTTCAAAATACACCCATATATTTTTGGTATATGTACTATAGTCATAATTGTACTCCTTTTAATGTTTCACTTACACGTCTCTTATTATTTCCAAGATGATCACTGATAAGACATGAAACTTTGTGATTTTCTCGCTTGGTCTTGCGCTACTAATTATCATATATGTATGGAATAAGAAGTCCACATAGAAAGTGCCTCCCTTCATTCTTGTATGGAGAAGTCCTGAGATATGTAATTCTATCAGTAGGGAGATAATGGCATGTAGAGATTAAATTTGCATGTATTTCTGCCTATTGCTTGGCCCTAATACTTTATCGAACGCGTTCAGGACGTTATACTTAAGCATTTTCTAATAGTGTTCTTTAAGTGTTTAAAGAACTTCTGAACTCGGTCGTTGATTGATACGAGTCAAGTTGATTGAAAGTAGAGAATGAAAGGGTCCGGCGACCATAGTATATGTAAACAAAATAATAGTAAATGATAAGTGAACGAAAATGTTAGTAATGAAAGGAAGATTGTACTTGTTGAATTAAAGTGGTAGCCGATCCCTACTTAACATTATCGTTGTAATGAGTGGTCTGTTACAAAAATGGGTATAGTTACCTAATAATCTAGTATAACATATGACCCATGTATGTGCGAATAACACTTTAATGCCCCGTAAGTGTAATGCAATGAAAATACTAAAAAAAATGATAATTTTCTTTACGTAATTTCTTTTACATAGTCTTACACGAGTGAGAATTTTATAATACCTCGTTTTACATACACTTAATATAAACTATTTGAGAAACTTCTGTAACATCAGAGCATATTATTATGTTATTAATAAAACTCGCATTTTAACAAGGTATTCGCACATGCTGAATGCTTCTTTTCGTATTCGTTGGTATGCATGAATAGTTTTGTTCACAGTTCGCATGATGGTGGAACAAGAGCCTCTGTTAGACGGTGAATATCATCACGGATCTGATACTACCCTCGACCTATGACTGTTGCAAAAATATTCGTCGGCGTAAAGATGATTGTTTAAATGTGTAGGGTGGCACAAACATCTCTACCGAAAAGTTAATATCATGTTTAGAATATTATATAGAGGAACGATAAATTACACGTTTTGTCATAACACGTTCCTTAGTAAATGGTACAGACTTTTTACATAAGAAAAGAGAAGGAAAAGATTAGTAGTAAATATCAAATATACAGAACAAAAAAAATGTTAGTTATACTGTGAATGGTGGGTGAAAATTTTAGATACATTTATAATAGCGTTAGAGATGAGACTGTTCAGTTCAAAGGGTTTGAAGTGAGCAAGATAACAATGTTTTTCCTTATACAGTAAAGTAACGGTAACGGTGAAGTACAATTTTATTACCGGCGACTGATTATGAAGTAGATCTTGTACAGCTAAAATTATTGCAACTCGTGAAATAAGACTTTGTTACTGTTACTGTTAATACAATTTTACAAAACAGTAGAAGGAAGGAATTAGAAATGTCGGATTTTTAATCTTGCAAAAAAGTAGACCTGTACAAAAACGAAGTATGTTTCTTGAATCAAAATTCTTTCTTGTAATTAGATGCAAACCGTAGCGTAACAAAACACGTATTGTTTCTGTCAGTTATTGTTAAAGAATGGTTCCCATTTTTCGGGGCAACGTATGGTACTAACTTGAAAAGAATTCATTCCGAAGTATATATACTTAATAACGAAAGTAAAACGAAGGTGATAATTTTGTATTAATATTTATTGTAAGACTTGTAAGGATACAGTGATAATATTTTATTCGAACGCTTATATTTAATCTACGAACAAATTTATATTAATTTAATGAGTAAGATACTAAATTCTAATTCGAATCGTTGTTCTAAGAGATAATATCATTAATATGCAAAGATATGATAATGATAATTTTTCTTCTATCGTTCTTATATTCAGCCGAGGTTCAGAGAAGAAAAGAACGAAAGATATAAGAAGTTCGATTAAATAATATTATAGATTATAACAGTTGTAATAGCAAATGATGTAAATTATGTAAAATAAAGTTTCAAATGAAATTTTCATCCCTGTTTACGTTTTTGAACATGAATTATATTTTTCTCCGAATAACGAACAATTCTAGGCTCACTCGAAGTGTTTTCTCGTGTTCGAAAGTGGAACGAATTCGAATAACGATTAAAAAGTTTTACATCCCTTCGCGGGGGTGAACTGGGTCAGCCGTCATCACTATTTCCCGGGAATTCGGTCGCACATAATATTTCAATATATTTCCATAAAAATTCCTTTATTATCTTCTCATTTTACCGAACCAGATATAATATAAATAATTACGTTTTATCTTCAACAAAACATTATTTTTCAAAATTCCTTTTCATGCAATCGTACCTAATACGTAAAATTTCGCACACATTATTGCATAATTACTACGAATAATAATATAATAATATTATAAACAATAACATAAATTGTTTCAACAATATTTTGGATGTATTGGCTTGTTCATTTTCTTTAATTTACAGGTTTTAATTTCTTTATTTCACAAGTGTATGAAATAAATATAGGAAGATATAGGGTTGTTTGATGTTTTAATGCTAAGGTTCGTGATCAAAGTAAGAAGATTGTACAAACATATTCCCTTTTTACCCCCACATTGGGTCGCTCATTTTTTGTCGAGTCTGAGGACCTCGAAGATTCGTGGCCGAGCCACGTTTCACCTCTTACCCTTGTTCGACCTGGGCCACCCTTTGATATACTTGGCCGTCCTCGATATTGCACCCCCAGGAGCGTAGCCCCTCTACTTTGCCCTTGACGCCCTTATTTTATTCATGATGTCACCTGTTTATTGGGAATTCTTTGTTTACATTCGATAAAACTCACTGTCTTCCCAATAACAAAATCAAGTGAAACATAGACTATCGAAATCTATGTTGATTTCAATTTTTATAGATTTGCAACATAAAAAATAAAATATTAATCTCTTCGTTAAGGAAAATCTGAGACAAAGAGGATGCTGAAAACTACGCTGCGGTTCATTAAAATTTTGAAACGAGAATATTATGTCAATGTTTCTTTCTGTTCGTAATGCAAATTGAAGTTGCAATATGCAATTGACGATAGCTTGAGGTATTTATATTGTCAGTGTAGTACACATGCGCAGGCGCGATATGCATTCCAGAGAGGGTAATAGAACACTGCCGATTGTGAACAGTCCAGTTACGGCAGTGGCAAAGTACTTTTCGCTAATGTATGAACCTCTATGTATTAATTTGTCATGTATTAATTGTCAGATTATTAATCAAATACTTCATTCAAGGATGATGAGCGTCCTTGTAGCACCATCCAATCATCATCGAGACTTTAGAGCGCTAATATAGGGTCATTAAAAGCCTTCCAGTGATTGCAAAGAACTGTTAATGTTTCTCTAAAATTAACGACACCTGAAAATCTCACTATTGGGTGAACGTAGTCGTTAAGATTCTAAAAAAGGAATTTTCAGGAGATATTAAAAATATATGGAGAATCCCGAAAATAATTGAAGATCCTAGAAAACTTTGAAAAGACACCAAACGACTCCGAACGTCACACAGAGATACACAAAGAACCTCGAGGATTCGCAAGGCTCCAAGGGACTTGGAAGATCCGAAGAACTTTCAATGGATCCTGACAATTTTCAAAGGATTTTAGGAGATCTCCAATGGATAAGATATTCGCTGACCCTGTAGATTTCAAAAATCCCTGAGGAAACTGAAGATATCTTTACGATACTTTAAGGATCGTTAGAATATCCTAGCGTCTTATAAGATCGTCAAGAATTATTCAATGCTCCTGAGACGTCTGAATTCCCTAGGGATTTAAAAGCTTCCGAACAATCATCCACAGACACTAAACAACTCGGATACCCATAACACTTCCAAGAATTATCAACAAACTTCAAATATCCCAACGGACGTCAATGAACTTCGATGGATTCAAACAGATCCTTGAAGTCTACGATACACGTTATTGCCTTCGAGCACATCGATGGACCTCCAAGAATTCTCAAGGAATTTAATATTACTTTCAGAACGCTTCGGGCTCTCGGACCAAATTACTTAAGGATTCTTGGAGGACTACAGGGACTCGGAAGTCGCTCACGATCCGAGATGATTAGGTGACCAAAGACCTTCACATTTCATAGATTCCGCAGATCCTCTTAGCGCGAATTCCCACCAGGGAATTAGTAATTTTCAGCTTTCACGGTCGAGCGAATGGCGGCGAATTCAGGGCGCATAGGGATAGAAATGCTGCGGGGTGGTGTTACGATATCGGTCACGATACGCCGACGATGAAATAAAAATAATAATACGATAATAATAAAATAAAACCCGGAACAGCCGGGTCTGGGTTAGGTCTGGGTTATTGTCGCCTCCGGTGTCCCTCGTCTTAGCAGCGTCAGTGGAATGCAATCGATAAAATCGAACATCTCCGAGCGAAGCCCTGAATGAAGGGCTCCCGAATCCATTGTCGCAGTACCTACGTCCCTGCGTTCCACCACCTACGTTCCCGAACATCCAGCTAAGCCTGACAACGTTATTGATCCAGCTGGTAGCAGCACGTCTATGCAAGGAGGCCATCCATTCCCGCGGATAGACTCTATGAGCTTCCTCGGCGAGTGTGCCAGTGGCTGGGAAGGTGCTAACATCGCAATTCGGGGCTAGAAAAACGTCTCACGCCACACGTGGCGCTCGTGCAATCAAATGATCGGAATCGATAATGGGAACAGTAATTTACACGTCAGCTTCCACGAGAAACGTGCGATCGCTCCTACAGTTCAACTATTAACACAATGATCGACAAAATTTGGATTTCTTGCTTCCATTTTCCGTGTTTATTCCTTTTTATTTAATTTGGAATTGTTACATCGATCGATACGTTCGTTTGTGATATAAGTCAATCGATATTTCGACATATGTAGTTTCCTAATTTATACGGAAGGGTATTATTATTAGCCAGTCGTATTGTCTACAATTTGAATGGCAATTATACACGAGCCATGCGGGTATCGCCGATAAAATTGTCGCGTTCACCGATGCGTCTCTCAATAACTGTCCTCTTCTTTTTCCCCCGTTTTATTCTTTCAAGCCGCGTGCCTGCGGATGACAGGCAACGAATTAGCCCGGGCACACTCGTCGAGATTTCTCCGCGGTCTTTGTACGCTTTGCGTTAAGACTGGGATTAAGGTCTGCAATTAACTAAACTGTGTGGCAAGGGGAAGGTGGATCAGGTTCGACTGGGGTATCATAACAGCGGAAGAGCGATATCTTGCCCACTATTATGCAAAGTGGCTTTCCTTTAAATTGGTTCTCGGTTTACAGCCACTTTGAAAGTTTGTTGGAACAGGTGTGGGCCTGAGACTGGCCCAGAAAATGAGCTTCCGTTTGTAGCATCGCTGGGCTGACTGAAATCATTTTTTATTCCAGTGGGAATGAATTATTTAATTTTCACTTTTTCTATTGCAAATATTTTCTTTTCTAATTGTATGACTTTCGATTTATTATTTCTTCCTTTCTGTCTATGAACGTTTGTTGTTTGAGCTTTCTAACGTAGGAAATTACGTGTAATCGAAGTGGCAATGGTTCGTTAATACGTCGATTAATTGATGGAGATTGGATGATTATTTCAAAGTGTTAAATACGGTCGGCGATTAAATTTCTATGTCCGTATAATATATCTCACCCTCACATGTTTGATAAACGTATCCGTGGATTGACGTAGGCGTGCACACGTTTGTGCACGGAATAATTGCACTGTACGCGACTGATAAGCGTCGTCGATGCGTGTATATTTCGAGCGTTTCTGTGCATGCATAGTTAAAGTCGCGAGGAACAGTAGCGTAATTAAGTTGCCAGCTGGTGGCTAAAAAAAGCGTAATTTCATCCGCCTCCTGCAATGTAACCGATAATCACGAAAACCTGTGTTCTATTCTTGTAGCAGCCTTGCTGGTATACAATGAATTGCTGGGGACAGAAATCACGTTCGATTCATTCCATATGTGTTCCGTTGACAGCCTACCTTTGATTGAGAATTCTTTTTTGCCTGTTTTATTAAACAAAGTTCTGTCCAGCTGGGAATAAAGATAAACTTTTTCCCAAGGTTGATTCATCGAGAGGCTTAGTTGGATTTTTATTTTAATTCTTAATCGCTTATATAGTTTAATTACTTGTAACATGGAAAAATGTTTTCGGAACGTTCAGTGAATGCTTTGGTTAGTAACAAATTGATAGGTAATTTTTAAATTTTTTATTAGGTTTAATCTGTTCAATTAACGTTGGCCTCAGCGTCCTTTTGAATTGTTCTCTGCGCCACGGCTCAAGCGAATTAATTGTCGCTTAAAGTAAACTAATTTACAAGTCCTTTAATTTCCCGGGGAACACTCGCAGTTCAAGGGAATGCTCGCTCCACAGGCGTTATCCTTGAACTGAATAGTTAACTCAACACCTTGAGGACGCGTAAGGATGCGCTTGTGAGATGAATTTTTTAGCGTGTTATAAACAGTACGAGTTCAAGATCCTTTTTTATCGTGGCAGCCACAAAAAGCTACAACATAGTGCGTATTAGATTATTCATTTCTAAATGGTATTGCAATAATAGATCAGTACATAATAATTCTTCCTTGTTCATTAAAAAATCTTCTAAAATCGAACTATTTTATTCAAAAACACGAAACCAAAGAAAAATTAAACTTTGCCTTCAAAATTACCCTTCAAGTTTTTTCAGTCTGAAATGCTTATCGATCTCAACTTAGAAACTTCCATCAACGTGAATGCATTCAATGATAGCTTAACGTGCCACTTTAATAATTAAGAACATTTTATCACACAGTGATAACGGATTACAAATAACTGTAGCAGATGTTAATGAAATAATATTACAATAAAATCGAATGTCGAGTCTGCCTCAACATAGGATTTCAAAGGGTTAAACCATGCATCATCTCAGTAATCGTAAAAGAAGAAATGAGGAATAGGTAACCCTGACCTATTAATTTTAGTGTTAACATTAAGTTTACGGACGATTATTATGCAGCTTGTCTTAATATTCCTAAAAAAATCGATGCTCATTCATGTAGATCTTGTCAATCGGAGTTTGGAAGATTAATCCTTTGCACTCGAGAGGTGACTCTCACTCAGCACTTGATTTCATACAGTAAAATTATAAAATTCGATATTTAATATTATACCCTTTATAACGCGTCAATTTGAGAAATATTGAAATAAACTAGCTTTGTTCTTCAATGTACATGCGATTTCGCTTCGAGTCAGTTTCACAAAATATCTTTATCTCATTAGAGAATATTAAAATATTTCTATTGAAAAACTTCCGAGTGCAAAGGGTTAAAACATAAGCTTACGTACGTAATAGCGTCGAACTCTATTGAATCGTTTGCCAAATAACGTTTGTACAATTCGATATTCGTGAAATCGTCGCGTTCCCTAAATCTAGTGTTAAATAAACAAATAAAGCCTATCAGCAACTGACCCGTTCGAAAGAACCGGCATGCCTAGATCCGGGCTCGTTATCGGTTCAGGGCAACCGATGTCCCTTTTACAACGCAAGTGCCGCCCCTGGTCGCACGCCTGCCTAGTAGCTCTTCGGCGAACGATCGCCAGTGTGGTATCGCCAGTTGGCCGATACGGACCGGGCTCGTGGCTTTCCTATGACGGCGAAGTGGCGATTCTTCGCAGACACGGCCTCCATCCACCTCTAACGACACGTAAGTCCCCCATGCCTGGCACGAAAAGATTACAATCCTCATGCTACATGAGGCTCTCCCCTTTTCATCCCCCATCTACCGTTGAAAATCATTATTCACCATTCGAGGACACCGATGACGTTGTAGAGCTTCGATTGCCCACGTACGCGTTTCTCTTCGTTTCCGTGCATTCGCGTGTGAAATCGTTGGTAACCGACGAGAAATTGTTCTTTGATAAGACATTTTCCTTGACGGGAATTCGTGCTCGAGTCCGTCGCAGATCAGTCAAGACGAGGTTTGGGTGAGTTTGGCTACTGACATGCTAGACGACGAGATCCTCTGTTCAATCCCATGATTTCCCTTTAAGATTTCTGTGTTTATCGTTGGTGGGTGGTTTTGGAAGATTGTTTTGGGGAGATTAAGGCTGGAATTGATTTGGGGGTGTTCGAGGGTGGGTTCTGAATGAGCGTAGCGAGCTAGTCTTGCGTTCGGTGTTGCAATTCTTTGGTTAATGGAGTACAGAGTCTTGGGGGATTGGATTGTTCCAAGTTTTCGGTTTTTCCCGGACGAATGTGGTTTTAGGAGGAAGTGTGCAGTGATGGACGGAGATTTGGCCACTCCTTCGGAGCGGGAGATCGCGTTTGACATTGGGACCACAGAGGCTTAACGACTTATGAATTTGGATTAACATTACTCCTGTTTAATAGTGTCTTCTGATTGTGGGTGATTCCATTACAGTGTGCAATTCAGTTTGTACGTTTTCAGAGGTGGTTTTACTGGTTTGATGGAAATTGGAATTCGTTATTAGTTCCATTGTCAATTGATTCTGGCTTGTGTTATTAGATTTTTTGGAGCAGTGTCCTGAAATATGAGTCTGTTGGTCTTTTACATGATTCAGGAGTGTTGTCTAAATTATTAGAATTTGATTTCGGTTCCAATTTAACATAAGAAACTTAGAAAATGTTCTTTATCATTTTCTTTGTGAAATAACGGGAATGAGGTAAATTGATGTTTTCCATTTAGTTTAAAATTGATTAATGCTGCAGGTGTATGCTTTAATTTTGTCTGTCAGTCCTTTTTGTTTAAAATTTAGCGGCTTGGAACTGTATTTTTAGGGTTCAGAATATAAGAGTAAATGTCTTTTGCGTCATTATAATATCGTTAACTTCTCCTTCTTCAATGGGTTGAAGGTTCAGGGAAGGGGAATCTGCTAACTGTTGAGTAGAGTAACGCAATTATCGGCGATCAATGAGATCTCCTACCCTGACGAATTGTGGAGCGATATCGAGCGTTAGCTTCATTTCATCGTTCATTGCATTACGTCTATCGTGACAATAGTCTTCAAAACCAGAATATTTCATCATTTAATTACTTTATACGATAATATACACAAGAAATGAAAAATTCGATTACTTTCACTGCTCGTAAAAAAAAATATTTTGAAGAGACCTTTGTATCATCGCAATACAAGGTATTAATACATCTCTTTTCACTAATGACTTTATTCGATCAAAAGAAGGACAATGTTTTTATTTTACAGTCTTTAATGTCTTCACTATCTGAAACAGAATAAAAATGTTTCCCAAAGAAACTACAGAAGAATAATAAAACAATACCGTAAGTCAGACAACAAAATCTAAAAATAAAAGGAACGAGGAAACGAAAGCATAAACTAATTAGATAATAAATGACGTAAACGAAGTATTAACATAGTAAATGTCGCGTGCAAGGGCGAGGTTTACCAAGTAAACGGCGTTATTAAACACGATCCAGATATAATTCCCCCTAATTCCGAGTTGAAAGAATAAATTACAAAGATTACAGTCATAACGAGGATATAATAAACAACTCTGATCTAACGTGTCAAAATAATGTGACAATCTCACCCACGTTCTTCGATTTACTCTCATTTCTTCTCATACCCGTAAACCCACACAATCTACAATCTATTGGCAACAATTTCTAAAATCAGCCAAGATTAACCTCTTGCCCTAAAATAACCGTATCAGATTCGTGACGAGGAGTTTACAACTTAACAATGATGCATGTCGCTTGATTGTTTCAAGTTCAAACCGAATATTACCTTCTCATTACCAATTGTAATGTTCCAGAAAAGAAAGGCCTAGAATAAACGTAGAATTTTATTTTCTAATGAATCATGAACTATAAAATAAGACAATAGTCGAGTCTCGTTGCGAAAGATATCGTAATGCAAGGAGTTAAAGAAACAACAATAATCCGGAACGAAAGAATGGAGAACATATTTTACGCGAATAATATTAAACTTAAAATCGGCGACCTTCGGTATCGCGCTTCGCGTTTTATCGCGTCGGCGAACAACGAAACGAGCCGGAAACGGGTCGCCGTCGGCCTGAGAACGATGCGTGCCACGTTTCCCCGCGTCGTTCCGTTCAGAAGTCGCCACGTTTTCGTGAAGGGGAAACGAAAGATCGGGATAGGGTCGAGACCAACCTTATTCGGTTAGGGGGAAATCGAGGAAAAGGTTTCCGGCGGTTAGAGCGTGTCCGACACCCCGCGCAAACGCACACGGGCCTTTCCGGGACGCGCGTACTGCTCGCGGTCTCATCGATTACGAATTTTCGTTTCGGGGACCCCGTTTCGTTCTTCCAGTGGTCATTGGTTCGCTTCTAAGATTATCGGAATATGTAAAATTTTATAGTTAGAATTGCCATTTTAACCCTTTGCTCTATGATTTCTTTCCTAATTGCGCTTAACAGAGATGTTTTATTGCAGATAATTCATTAGAAAAGGAGGAAAGTTCTACACTTATTATATGTCTACGTTTATTTGTAATTAATAATAGAAAAATAATATTCAATTCGGACTTGAAAGAACTAAACGACACTTGTTTTAAGAATTATCTTATATTCTCCGAATAGAAATGACTTAATGAATGCGTGAAATTAAAATGAGTATCTCAAGGGATGAAATTAGAAAGGTTGCTATTGAAGAGTGACATTAATTTTTGGAGATTGACGAATGCAAAAGTGTATGCATGATTTAGTAATTCGATTGAATTTGATTCCGAGAAGTTAATATTTCTTAGGGTGAGATTGCAGGACTTGCAACGAAACGTTTTCCGATGCGGTTGAATCAGCTTAAATTCTGCGCGGCATTCAACCCTTTTTGCGATTCTAGACAACTCGATATAGGTCACGAGTCTCGAGAAATCAATGAGATTCGTGCTTCAAACTATTTTACGCGCCATTACTCTCGGCGTTGATTAACATTTTTGTAAGTCAATCAGACTTTTACTGCGATTGAACTTTCCCGGTAACGCATGCGAATTTTTCAATTCTATTTGGGATGAAAGTGGCCGGTAATCAAATCATGGACTTCACTGATTATCATAGTGAACTGAACACTTCGTACGATCCTCATTTAATAAACCGCGACAAGAATATATTCATCTACTTATTAAAGAATAATACCCTCCACTAAAACTTCATTTTTAATTAAAACTTCGAACCAACGAACGCTATGTGGGTTTAATACACGCTAAACAAACCACCAGTCTTTTTTCGTGCTAAGAATCTATAATTAACTCCGAAGCTCGTAACAATTGGTGACATTTTCACCCTCCTAAATATAAATATGTACATTCAACCCTTCATTCACCTTTCCACACGTAAACCAATCAATATTTGAAATGTTTCGCGCCCACATGCCCGTAAGGTCGCTTTGAAAAAGGAAAGAAAGCGACGCTGAAAGGAACGGAGTACCATTCTCCTATGTGCCGAATCGAAGTGGCAGGAATGATCAATATCGTCTGCCACATTGTCGAGACTGCGTGACGTAGAATAATACAGAATTAATTAAGCCGGTCTAATTTTAGCGAATCGAGTGTAACATCCCGCGTATCGATTGCCGTGATTCCAGATGCGGAAGACCGAACGGAGAATGCTACAGCCATGATTCGATCAGGTGGCGATCCTGACAGAAGTCCGTCGTCGGCGCGGATGACTGGGAACAGCTGCACAAAACGGTGACAGAGCTGTAAATTACAGCCATGGATACGCAGAAGAAATATCTGTGCCCCCGCTTGGTGGATTATCTCGCCATTGTGGGGGCCAGATTGCCGTCAGTCTCTCGCCAGCCTGTGCAGGTGCCTTTTTCACATGTTTCTTTGTTAACGTGTTACTAGCAGGAAAATTGTTAACGGAATTTTTCCTGTATTCATTGAAGATACAGGTCAGAATGAACACTAACGCCGCCAAGCAATTAGAGTGACTTATTAAGTTTCTATCAAAATTAGCGCAATATATTTCTCAAGATTTAATGAGTCTTCTATTGTTGTATCATACAAATATATAAATTTATTTTACAATTTTTCGCAAAAGCCTAAAAGAACTAAAAATTCTAGAATGGGTCAGTTTGACCTATCTAGTAGTTTTAATGTTAAAACGGAAATTATAATAAATTCGTATTATTATTTTGATTGTCATCAATTCGTTATTGTAATTATTATTATAAAATTATTATTTCCCTTGGATGGATAGAAAGATATAGGAATTAGATTAAATCCACGTTCATTGGAAATAGTTGATTCAAATTAATGAGCTTGTTCGATTTGAATGGATAGAAAGTTATAGGGTGGACAAGCATTTAATGTTTCTTGATGGGTTAAAGGTTCCAGAATTGTTGCGAAGGTACCCAGTGGAAGATCACAAAGATTTTCCACTGCCCCTGGACATGGTCTACTTCTGTCAGCCCGAGGGTTGCACCAGCGTGGGCCCTAAACGCACAGCCTTACGAGAGGCCACTACTTTCACGTTCACCCTGACGGACAAAGATTCCAGTATGCAATTCTATTTTATTCCGAAAAAATGTTCGATCATTCATCCGTTGACTGGAACGAGAACGATAAAAACTGTCCGACGAAATTGCAGGTAAAACACGATACGGAATCTGCGTGAATTTCTATCGGCCGATAGAAAGGGCGGGAGTGGCGGCTGGGGTTGGCACGTCCGGCAGAAGGGATAAATACAATACTACATTCAGGAGGGAGAGCTGGAGGAAAAGCATGGAAAAGAGCACGGATTCTGCCTTTTCTAGGTGAAATATAACACATCATTCATTATTCCGTTTCGTAAGGGTGCAAGTGAATAAAAGAGTTAAGGCTTCAAGTTCCTTCATTGTAACTCACTGGGATTGAAAGGTTTCACAACTGCTTTTTAGTCATTCATCGTTAACCCTTTGTCGAGAAATTATGAATAAAAAGACGTTTCCAACTAGACAATGATGACATCGTAATATAATCACAAAGGAGATTACAGTAGACCACGGCGAATCTTGTCTTCTCTTTGACACTGAAGAAATGAAACTACTTAATGGTTAATAATAAAAAGAATTAAGTTAAAAATTTATTAAGAGTTTTTTAATTATTTGCGAAACAAGGCACAAGAGAGGAATATAATTTCCGATGGAATAAATGCCAGGAATCTTTGTTTAATCTATTCACCCTCTGATCCGATTCATCTCGATCTACCTTAGGAGACAAGCGGTTAATTAAAACGAAAGACTACGAAAGGAACATGATAAGAAAGCTTCGAGGTTGAGATAATCTCTTCGTTCTCTTTCGCGAAAACTGACACGATTGTTCTGTATCGATTATGAGACTGTTATCTCTAGCTATTATTTATAGCGACTATAGGAGCAGTGCGGTAGGTCCTAGCGACTCAGAGAAAGAATGCCCGAGCAGCAGAAGGGACTCAGACACTCCTCACATACCAAATGCACCGAGATTAGGGATCACTGCGCCGAGTGGAGACAGCGAGAGCGGTGGAAGTCATTCTCCGTCGCCGTGTGCATCGCGCAGACGACAGGTATACTGTCGCACAGTTGTAAATTATTCATTGTTAATCTCTTTATGTTCTACAAAATTTCACTTTATACATTCACCTGAAAAAAAGGATTTTCAATTTCAAAACAGTATTTACTGTTATAGGATTAATGTAGATCGAATTGTTTCTTTACCGAAAAATATGGGAAGATAGAACTTCGATGTGATTTTTACTATTAATGTGGGTCGAAAAGGGTTATATAGATTCGTAGCTATACGCTGCCAATGAAACGGTGATGAATCGATACGATGTCCTTTCAGAGAATACGGAACCACTCCCTAACGTCACTCTGCATCATCTCCCATCACCCTTTCTTCTCGATGTTCCGGGAATGTCTTTTTGTTCTAAAGAAGCTCATCGACGCGTGCAACGAGAGCTCTTCTCCTCAAAGAGTGGGGGCTTCGAGGCAGACGAACAGGTACATCAGTGAATCGTAAAATCGAGTCGATTTTATTAAAATTTAAATCAGATTTTCAAATCCTTACTCGATCGCACCAAGAGTGAATTTAATTCAATTTAATTACTCGAGATCTCTTTACAACACAATCATACTTAACTGCATCAAGGATCAACAGAACATTCCATAGACAACGTTATAATTGAAAGATTTAATCTTTAATCTAAATACTCGGTGTCTTTATGAACATCACTTCTTCTCATTTTCTGTTCTATTGATAATTTAATTTTTGTAACGATATATCATTTGTAATATTTATTATATGATTTCATTTATAATTTGTAATGATATATAATTTGTAATACTTATTATATGATTTCGTTTATAATTTGTAATGATATATAATTTGTAATACTTATTATATGATTTCATTTATAATTTGTAATGATATTTCGATAACTGAATATTTGTATAACTGACGATAACAGAGACACAGTGTGGAGTGTGCTGACTGGACAAGTGCTCGAGGGAACGCCTTCGATAGTTCTCCACGACGTCCGTGAGATCGAGACCTGGATCCTACGTTTGCTGAGTAGCCCGGTGCCCGTTCCGACAAAGACACGGGTTGAAGTCGAGATCGTGTCGCAAAGTATGCAGCCGCCACTCTGTTTTGCTCTACCAGACCACACTAGATTCTCTCTCGTTGATTTCCCTCTGCATCTACCCCTGGAACTTCTCGGCGTTGACATTTGTCTAAAGGTCCTCACGTTGATTCTTCTGGAGCACAAGGTGAGCGACTTACGCAACCATCCCCGAGAACTTCTCAAACGGAGAAATAAAAGGATAGGACTAAATTGTTCGGGCTTAGGGACGGTTCCCTCGGATGACTTACATGAAGGTCTAATTTACGAGGCAGTACTCGCTTTAGTGATTGATTAACTTGTTACGAAACTGGTTTAGATTGTTCATATAGGAATATTATATTATTTGCTATTTTAGTTAACAAATTTTTAATTTAAACGATTGTACGTTAACTACGTATAATATAATAGAATCTTTGGTTCGAAGACCAACATTAACACTACCAGCTATGTCAAAATGATTCATTTCTAATTTCTTCTTTCATATTTCTTAAAGATTCAAACGTCTGTCCTAGGAATTATTAAGTAAATTAATTTTATAGTATCCTAAGATATAAGTCAATCGAAATTTCAATAAATGTATCCTTGTAAATCCCAGAGAGAAAAAAGAAGGAATTAATTTGACTGCTCGTTATATTTCATTTAACACGTTGACTGACCGGAGCTTCGAAATTGCTTGTAAACAATTACAATAAGAAAATTGATATCGAACAAAAATCTTTAGTAACATAAACAGGTAGATAATAGCGTAATACGTGTACTGTACTACCAAATCATTACTAATTACTTCTAATACCATTTGCCTTTACTACGAAGGAATAAGGATTGCCATAACAAAACGCTCGAAATTCTCGTGACAGTCAATGTGTTAATGATTGGTCAGAATAAAATAGCGAATAAATGATATATTCTTGTTAAACGGTCTCTCGTGTTTGATTTCAGATCGTGCTGCAATCCCGCGACTACAATGCCCTATCGATGTCTGTAATGGCGTTCGTCACAATGATTTACCCTCTGGAGTATATGTTCCCCGCGATACCGTTGTTACCCACGTGCATGAGCTGCGCGGAACAGTTGTTGCTTGCACCTACACCATTTGTTATCGGAATACCCGCTACTTTTCTATTGTACAAAACGAACTTTAAAATGCCCGATGACATTTGGCTAGTGGACCTAGACAGCAATAAGATTAGCGCTCCGACTGGTCTGGGCGATCAATTGCCACCGTTGCCCGAACCAGAAGGCAGCGTCCTAAAGAACCACTTGAAGCAGGTAAATAAGAACAAGAAACAGCTCTGGGCAATTTTTGCAAATGAAATTTCAGAATATTAGCTACGAGCAGGAGATCTTTCTTTCAACAAATTTCCCCAATTCGACAGGGTTCTAGCCAGCAATAAAATCAATCCACTGATTCACTAATTCGAAAGCATAAAATAAAATTTTTATTTACTTCGACAGGTGTTCTCGCTCTTAAGAAGAGAGAAACAATTAAAAATAAGTGATTCAATTTATAGAATGTCGGAGAAGTCATGAAGTGTTTTTGTACGTCACTGTTGCCTTTACACTTTAAAAGAAAATATTAATTAATTCGTTTCTAAGTGATTTTAAAGTTCTTAATTAATTCGTTGCTCCTCCGTTCGGTTCCGCAGGCGATGCAACTGATGGACCAAGCCGGCTCTGGTGTAAATATTTCATTTACCACATCTTTTGCATGTAGCGTATAGCTGACATCCTTGTGTTGTAGTTAGCGGCATGGAAGACTCTGCCTATGACAGTAGTATATTTTATATATACACATAGATATAAATATATACATATTTTTTTTACAATTATTTTTCTTCGTACTCGGTAGCTACAGTCGAGTGCAGTAGTGTCACGCTTTATAAGTAGTGAGTCCTGGAAGGCAATATTGCACTCGAAA